CTTGACTCTACAGCGGTAATACCCAGACCACTCATTTTAGCAGATGATCAAAATATGATAGAGCCACTGTGTAGTATAGATAAGCATTGATTTGTAAGACCGTTTAGTATGGATTTGTAAGACCATTTGGTATAGATTAGTAAGACCGTTTAGTATGGATTTGTAAGACCATTTAGTATAGATTTGTAAGTCCATTAAGAATGGATTTGTATGACCGTTTAGTATGGATTTGTAACACCATTTAGTATAGATTTGTAAGTATGGATTTGTAAGTGAGATAACATTATAACCTGCTCTTTTTTATTTTTGTATTGAAATCTCTTTAACCGCTTAGCTCAAAACTTCAATCCAAAATATTGCAGCAGATTGTACCCCTTTATTTTCGTATGGAGTATTTTCATTGGTCATGTGAAAACCTCAGACCGATGAAAAAAGTTCCGTCCTAGTTTCATATGATAATTTGATTGAGCCGTTATTACAAATGAAAATTTAATTCTATCATATTTAAATGTGCAGTACAAAAAAACGATTCATTCATTATGAATTGAGTGTGTATTACTGGTGTGTGCTAAACTTAAACAGTACCATCAGATCTCTGTCGAGTTTTTTGACAGATTGGTCTTTATTATTATATAGATTATATAGATTATACTTGCTACGTATAATCAGCGAAGGTATCAGTGTCAAGATCAATGAAAATTTGATGGATACATGCGCTGAACATTTAGATACTAGTGATTTTACTATACAAAATTGAAAGTTGAATAACCTTTACATTTCTAGAGTAATGATTGTTTTTCCCTATAAATGATTTTTGTCAATACGTATACGTATGACGTTTGGATGATGTTTAAGGGCTTTGGGTTTAATGAGGAACGGGGAAAGTGTAAGTCTGATTGCCACGCGCCGAACACCAACCAAACCTGCTGGTTCCCAAATACAAAGCCGGTCAAGTATATTAAAAAATCAAATTTTAAGTTTTTAGGGATAATTTTTATTATTTTTGAATTTTTATTACCTAATCCACTCCAGGTTTTACTTCTTTCAGTTTGTTTACTACAATAAAAGAAATTAAAGATTAATGATGACATCAGATTTAAATGTTGATCCTTCCAAATTGCCATGTTAGGTTCTATATTTTAGCTACCTTACATTATAGCACAGGAGGTAAACGCCTGATTGGATTATTATTCTTACCAATGTTCTCCATTGCTCCGACCCACAGGCTATTTTGGTGTTTTACTATTTTTTTGTCCAGGACCCGCTTTTATCAATTTATCACTTCGCGTTACAAGCTTTATTACTTACGAAAGAAAATTAATAGCTTTCCCCTGATTAAATTAAATCGAACCCTAGTTGTCCGAATTTTTGATTATAAGAAGTTGTGATTTTGTTTGAAGTAAATCGGTTTTATGTTGGTTTTGGAGTGAAATGTTGATTTGCCGAATCTGCGACATGTTAAAAAACAGGAAACTTTTGGATCGAGGTGTTATGGGTTTATTGTAAGAAGTAGTGTAACACCACTGGTGGGTCAGACGAGGATTTTGTGGAAGGGAAATTATCAAAAAAATAGTATGAATTCAATCTCCCAAATAAATCAATTAAAAATAGCTCTTTGTCAAGGTAGCTTTTATCTTTGACTGGCTGAAATTGATACTTGTCTAAAATTACAGGTAAACAGTATTCCATTTGGATAAATAATGTTTTAATATATCAACATGCCATGGCAGAATTATTCATTGATTTTAAGTAGCATTATTTTTGTTTACGCGTATTTATAACAAAAAAAATCCTGAATTTGGGTCTTTTTAGAAATTTATTCCCAAATGTTTCATTCCATGTGTGTTTTCTCAGTATTTAGTGGTCTGAGACTTAAAATAAAGCTACTGTATCTTAAGTCCAAGGCATCAAAAGAAACCATTTTTCTTAATTTGAAAGGGCAAAACGCCTGTTACATTACAATATTAGTCTCTTTTGTTACTTTTTATATGTTGTTTGTATATTTGTTACAATTATAACAAAAAGACTGTGTTTAGTTTGACTACTGTTGTGTATGTTCCAAAGAAAATAAATTTAATATTTTTATGTTTAGTCTCTTTTGTTACTATTTTTATATGCTTTTTGTATGCTTGTTACAATTATAATTAAAAAAGACTTTGTTCAATTTGACTACTGTTTTGTATGTTCCAAAGAAAATACATTTAATATTTTTATTTTTAGCAAGCCGACCAATGTTCATGATGAACAATGTCTTCGTCCGCCCATTCACCTAAGAGTATGATATCTCTTAAATGAATATCTGGTCATCATATGTCTACTACCTCTGTCATGGACTATTACTATTACTATTATACGATAAGTATAATGATGCAAATTTAAATGATTTAAAAACATCCAAAAATAATTAATTGTTTTTTTCTAAATAAAAAATGATTTGGGTGCGCGGAAAATAATTTGAAAAGGGTATCTGAAAAGGGGCAATTTTTTGCGCGGAGTTTCCAATTGCTCCCAATGAAACAGCTTTCCTGTATTTGTTCTAAAAATTACTTATAACAACAAACTTTAAAACCCTTACTCAATTAAAGCATCATCCTCCAGATTCACAAATTTTTTTAAAAAAAATTCAAAAATGATTTTTTAAATTAAAAAAATTGTAGAGTGAAAAAAGGATGTATTTTCATATTGCAAATTTGGTAATAAACCCACGTAAATTACTAAAAATAGTTTAAAATATAAAAAAATGGCCCTTACTGCTTTAATTTAAATTTCTAAAAAATTAGGGTGATAAAATAGAAAAAATTTTGTAATAAATGAAAAATTTTTTCTTAAAATTTTGGGAAAATTTTTTTTATTTTTTAAAAACCCAAATTTCCCAAGTTTAAATTTTTTTGGTTATTGGAGGCTACAGTTTAAAAAAAAAAACTGCACTCTGAAATCCCTTCAAATTTCCCACAGTTATTTACGTATTCAAATTATTTTTGGGAAATTTTAAATAAATTTGGTTGTTCCCCCCTTCCCCCATAAAGGGTTAATAAACTAGAGTGAATTTTCTCAAATTTGTCTTTAAAATTGATTTTAAATTTTATGTATTTTCTGATAGAAGAACTGTTGTTGTAAGGGGATTTTTAGGACCACTTACTGTTTTACCCACGTGCATATATAAAACCCAAACCAACATTTTTGGGCGTAATGGCATTAAAACTATAAACCCAAAAGGGCCGCCGTGATGCGCAGAAAAGGGGCCCTTTAAAAAGGGGCCCCCATAATTTTACTGAAGGGAAAAAAATTCACCCCCCAATTGTCATTTTTTTAAATTACATGTATCGTTTTTTTCCTTTTTTCACACTTTGAAAAAATGAGATTGACAAATTTTTGGAAGGGGTTTTCAATTAAAAAAAAAATTGAAAATTAAAATTTTGCGGGGGATTTTTTTTAAAAAAAAGTCTTTTTGAAAAAAGGGGAAAATTTTGAAAAAATTAAAATTCTTCCCCAAAACAAAAATGGGCTGTAAAAGTATATAAATAAATTTTTTAAAGCCCCCAATTTTAAAAACCAACACAAAAATTAAATTAATTTGGATTTTTTCCTTAAAACGATAAAAGCCTTTTTTTAAAATGCGGGAAAATTTTTTTTCTATAAACCCCTGTATTTTCCGGGGGAAAGAAATTTTTACAAAGGCTTTTTTTAAAATTTTTTTGAGGTTTCAAAGAAATTTTCCCTTTTAAATTTGATATCCTCATTCATTATTCAATCAGCCAGAGATCTAACGTACAAATGAAATTTTACTAGTAACATGGACAGGGCTTGAATTTAGTGTTTAAATGTTTTATTTTGTCACACTATTGGCGTCCTTTTTTAAGAGACTTTATTAAGTTGAAAACTATTGTTTAGGCGTGACAGCAAAATGCATCGCAGTTTTTCCCCATCTTGTATCGTCTGTCCATATTGTTGTTTTGTCTTCATACATTTCCATCCGCTCGTTTGAAAGTCGGAGAAATCTTGCTGTTTACTTCAATTGGGTCTTTAAATCTCTAAATGTAGTTGGTACTAGAAAAAATATAAAGAGAAAGCTACGGTATTTTCTGTTTTCATGTGACTGTAAATAACCGAAATATAACTCCTCTCTTAATGACATTACATAAACTATTTTTAATAAACTAAATTGCCCCAGTTATTTTAAAATTTTTTTTTTAATTGTTTAGGGAAAAACAATGTTTTCTAAACAGCCTCCCTGGCCCCGTGGTTCCAAAAGATTTCCACTCCCCGATGAAAAATTTTCAAAAAACCCTTAAAGGGGGTTTTGACTTTATTTAAAGTGTAAACAGTGTATTTAATTAACAAAATATTTCATAACGGGAAAATGGAAAGTCATCTTTTTTTGTGCCCTTGTTTCAGCACCCACTCTCTGGAACCCCCCTTTAGATGAAAATTTTAGGCATGGGGGAAAAATAAAGGAAACGCCAGGGCTGATATGAAGAAAAATTTTCTAATTGGTTTTAAAAGAGCGTATGTGTTCTATCATATAGTATTGTTTATAATTTTTGAAAAAACGGGGTTTTATGGGATTTTAATTTTATGTTCGAATAAGGGTAGATAAATCACAATTTCTTGGTCCTTTCCGCCAAACTTCGGATAAATATGCCGAACTTCACAGATTGAAAGTCTAACCTACGCTATAGAGTTGTCAACATGTTATCCAATAGTAAGTCAATGCTGAGATTTGTAAAGTCAACTTAAAGTAAGTCATTTAAAGTAAAAAGTACATAATCTTTTTAAAAAAACGAAAGTACAAAACGAAAGTATATGTACGGAAATTTTGTTATATTTTTAGGGCTAAGGTTTTTAAAATGGGAATCAAAGGCCTGGTTTTTTTAAAAAAGTACTTTTTTAATGATTTTAAAGAAAACTTTTTTTCCAAAAGGGTGCCAAAAAAAATCCCTAATTTTTTACAAAAATTTTTTAAAATAAGGTTGGTAGAACTATTTTTAAGATATGATTATAAATAACAGGTGAGCTGTTCGACAAACTTATCGATATTATAAAAACACATGAAAATAAAGTCAACGAGTATAGGACGATCAATACCGATAAAATATGCAGGATATTTCGGTAAGGTGGGTTTATATGTAACTTAAAAAGGTATTTGTCTTATCTATGTACAAACTATTGATATATCATTATTATGAGGAAAACGAAATTAGCAAGCAAACGTTTTAAATTCACATGAAACAAGTATAAACGGTAAATGTCGAATTAATTGTCTCTTGATATAATTCGTTATGTCTTTTTCATAATAGTAACGCGGTAATTTATTTTTCTCTCAATCTTTACTGAGATTGTTTACGGATCTTCGGTGAGTAACCGGGTTAAAAAAATAAATATACATCAAGGAAGTAGATTTATTATTCTTAATTGTCATAAATCCGGAGTGTATGAATGATTTTTAGTTCTTAAATTGGCGATAATTGTTCAGTTAGTTTAAACATAGATTATTTCAACAAGTATATAAGTCGAACACAATAACGTTTACAGTTTACATAATTAATCGTACCATTATGATATAATGTGTTGTTAAAGTTCTTTAATTATTACATTTTTCATTTTATTGCAATGTAGAAGAATATAAGTGGAAATAGACACGTAAATCTAAGTACCGTTCAGATTATGAAGATCTCAGGTTATAGACACGCATGGTTTTTCGAGTTCAAACCCACAACTGTGCATGGTTTTTACTTTAAGAATATAGTTATATAGTTGGCTTAAAGTTGGCAGTGTATATGTTTATACATGTATATGTTTGAAAGTACAATGAGAATATATATGCGTATGTAGTTGGTTGGTAGAGGGAATTGTTTAGTTCGATACCATTATCATGGAGTTTATATGCTATTTTTTCATGTACCAATTCATTCGTTCATTTATAAAGTGAAACGTTGAATATTTCTAAAACCAAAACGAATTGAATGCTGCAAAAGAACGACGTGCGCTTTCTGTTTCTGATAAAGTGTGATGAGACTTATTAAAGTAATTGTCTGACATACTAAGGTAATATGGTGATATATGAAAGTATTCCTATATGATCTTCATTTTCCTGTTATATTGTATTTGTTACATTTAATAGAATTTTTTAAGAACATATTTCTTATTTAAAAGTTCAATAGAAACTTTCAGATGTCACTGCCAAATTAAATCTTTACTCCTTTTGATTAACAGCAAAAGAAGATTTGAGTACAGTCACCAGATTTTCTAACAGTAATATAATCTATCAAGGCATAAGGATAACTTGGAACTGTTTTCAAGATGATGATAAACGACCAACTGGTTCTCTATGAGGATTATGATGAAAACTATGTTCCTCCCGAGGATGATATTTGTGAGTATGCCCAATGTATTGGTATAGACCCTGACAAGGAACCATATTTGCTCTGGATTGCTAGAAAGGGAATAAATGCTCCTCTCCCAGAGAATTGGAAACCTTGGTATGTTTATATATTTATATCAGTAAATGTAAACACTTATTCAATGTGATAAAAAACCACAAGTAAAAGCTCTTCCTGAAGTTCTACAGATTGTATTTCTGAAACCGAAATAATAAACATTTTTCATGGTCCAGTAAATACCTAGTCAGTTACAAAAACATAACACGTTTCGATTATTGTAGCTAATGTATGTTAAGATTTACATATTTACAGAACAATATGACTTTATCTAATGCAGCCAAGATCCAGGTGGCAATATTTATTACTTCAACTTTGCTTCTGGAGAGAGTATATGGGATCACCCATGTGATGAGTTCTACAAAAAGATGGTCATAGAAGAAAGGAAGAGAGTCAATTTGTCACAAAAACAAGGTGTTGTATAAAATTCATCATGGTCCTCTGTGTTTGAATAGTTAAGATTGCTGAATCTATCAAAACGCACGCTCCGGTCTGACATAATCCAAAAGTGATATGGTTTTTTGTAATAATGCAGCCAAGATCCAGGTGGCAATATTTATTACTTCAACTTTGTTACTGGAGAGAGTATATGGGATCACCCATGTGATGAGTTCTACAAAAAGATGGTCATAGAAGAAAGGAAGAAAGTCAATTTGTCACAAACACAAGGTACAACATATACATGGATCATCCTTGGCCAATAATAAGAATGTTGTGGCACAATGTGACCAATAATTAGATATATTTGATATATGTATTTTTACTAGACAATTGTGCAGTTCATATAATTTATTTAATTGTAAAATCATTGACCTTTCTCGTGGTTTAAATCTTGATGTTCTTAGGTGACATAGGTGTATATAGTAGCTCAATAGGGAGAGCATCGAATAAGTAATCTAGACATCGCTAGTCCGACCTTCGGGCGGGGCGTAATTTCTCCACAGTTTTAGATCTGTGACATTACTCTAATGATCATTTGGTTCTTTCTCATCACCATGTCAGATCAATAGTCAGTCACTTGTGGAGACATTGGCAAGTACTGGAAATTTATCCAGGGACGGACTACCGAGATATGACAAAAAGTATTCAAGTCGGCAAACAAAAACACTCCAGAAAAATAGACAAATAGAAATAATTAGTTTAAGTTTTTATAAAAAAAAGAATTGGAACTGTGACATTTATTATTGTATGAAATAAATTTCGCAGATAAAATGGCAACCAAAGAAAAAATTGACAAGACAGAAAAAGATGAAAGAGAAAATAGAAAAGATAAACCGTCACAGGTGATGGTATCTGAAAAAATTATGTAAACTTTATAATTTCTTTCCTCTGTTTATTTCAACGGGAAAACTTTCAAGTAGTTTTAAGAAATTGCAAGATTTACTCTTTTAATCAACTTCTTGTGTTACCAAACTGTATAATATTATGAAATGTTGTTGAAACCAAATACCAAATGTTGGTACATGTATTTGGGAATAAGGGCTACGAACAGATGACAATAAATTACTGATGATTCATATTGTTGCAATAATAGAAATAGAAAAAGTAAGGCACGAAAAAGTAGAGTTCGGAAGAACTAATTTATAAAATAGTATGTACATGAAAGCCTAAAGAGCCTTTGAATATGAGTAGATGACAATACGAAGATAAGAAAGACGTTAAAATACCTTATACCTTATATTTCTACGAAATCGAGAAATTTGACTACGCTTTTTTTTCTGACGCATTGAACAATGCAGGGACAACCTCCATTAGGACACTTCCATTTTACACCTCATGCCCTCATTTCTCATTACATAAAATCATCAGATGAGGTTGGAAACGCGACTTCTTATTTGGAAAAACATCCGCCGTGTAACAAGTTCCTGCCCCTGGTTAGTGGTGTCGTGTATTTTTCATAAAAATGCCTTGCTTATCTAATGTTAATTATCAAAAGGATGGTATTTATTTATTCAGTTTTGGTATGCTGTGTAACACCAGCACTTTGGGGTCAAAAGCACTTTGGGGTTCGACCCCAAAGTGCGTTACACTTCGCACCGCACTTTGGGGTCCAACGCACTTTGGAGTCAAAATCGAGAAATTGACCCAAAAGTGCGTAATTATGTTACATATCAACGCACTTTTGGTTCAAAAGTTCTGAAGGTGTCAACTGAGTTCTTCTTAAATACTGAGTTCTGACTTATTTTCGATCTGCGACATTGAAATATTTGAGGCGGAGTTCAAGATGGTGGTTTGATGCTTAAGTGATAAAATTGTTTCATTAATTTCACCACTTGAAATATTTTAAATAGTGTCCATATAACAAAGTACTCTAGTAAATAAATTATTAAATTATTCCTATAATTAAAAGATGCGGCGAAAATATATCATGTTCTGTCAGTCATTTACTTGATAATTTTTTGTGCCATATTAAGCCCCTTTTTTAATATGACATATTAAGCCCCATTTTAAATATGATGGGGATGAAATAAAATGCAGGTAATATTTTTTCATAAAAAAAACTATAAAATACTCTATTGCAATGTTTTGGTGAAATATCCAGTTTTTAGATCAGTCTATAAATAGTGATTTTTACAAATAAGTTATTAAGTTTATCAACAAACTTAAGTTTTTTGTAAGCTCCGTAACAACCGTTCTCCAGAGGCTTTTCATTGGAAATCTCAAATACTGCTTTTGAAATGACAAACATGAATTTTAATGTTTAAATAATAGTATCAGAGAAATTTAAAATACTTGTTATCGGAATAAAGAAGCGATAAATGTGAAAAAATTGTCATAAAAGTAGCAAAATGAAAACAATGTAGTGTTTGACTTCCATATATAAAACTAAATCACTATAACTGTACTCATTACAAAAAAGCAACAGATGAAAAAGATGGTTCAGATAATTGGCTAATGAGTACACCAAAATTTAAAATCAAAGCACAGAAGGCGCTGAATTTGTTTGGATCTCAGAATGTCAGAAAGGTGAAGGTTGTGAGATTATAAACCAATTTGTTTTTGTATAGTGCCACCAATGCTTTCCAGTGTTTTAACTGTAGTAAATTGGCTATAAGACTAATTGCAACACTGATATTCAATTCAATGTTTATTTGACTTAAACAATTTAAAAAAAATTAGATGCCTAACTGGGATTTGAACTCCAGACCTCTCGATTCCTAAGCGAGCGTGCAAACACCTAGGACACGGTGATGTTGTATGTTAACGGCCTGAAGAAAACCATATAATTCTAAATTAGGGTTTATATCTCTTATTATTTCGACGCTAAACCTGTTGTAAATAATCATGGAGCTTACTATAAGCATGTACATCAATAAAACAATATTAGAAATCTTCGACCACTCGGAAACTATTTTGTTGAAATTAATGCGCCTGTCATTTGACAGTCTTTACGCAGTGATCTCCCCTGAAATTTTCGGCGTTGTGTACATATACAGGGAAGTAACCGCTACAAAAAAGCGGACTACTTTCGGCATTTGCAACTAACAGCATCAGGGTCTGAAATTTCGCTACCATTATTTGTTTGGTCTGACTACCCAAACAAATAAAAAGCTTAAAAATTGCAAATAAAAGCACAATTGGCCTTTAAAACGTTATTTTTTATAATATCGGGGGGAACGGGACCCAACTATCCCGTCTGGACCCCCCCCCCCCCCCGATCGCATTGCTGACATTCAATCTCTGGCACAGCGCTTAACGACAAACCTTACAACAAAACCTTAAAACAGCTTAAAATTAGCGGTGTAAAAGAAGGAAATTTTTTAATTCTGTTAGAAGTATCCAACAAATTACAACTCGTTCAAAGCTTAAAAGTAGTGCTTTTGAATTGTCAATAAATGCACAATCACAAATTACGCGGATAAATATCATTTTAATCAATGAAAATGCTATTTTAGCAATGTCGATTACCTAATACTTCAGATAAATCTGACTATCGAGTAGTGGGATATATACATGTGAAACTGTTTTGGCGAGACGATTTTTGCTAAATTATTTACATCAGTGGTAAACAACAGGTTTATCGTGAACAAAATACCTCGAAATTAATAAGGATAACAAACCCTAAAATTCTATATATTCAGTTTTCTCGGTATATCGTCCCCGTGGTGTAGGGGTTACGTGCTCGTCTAAGGTACGAGAGGTCTGGGGTTCAAATCCCAGTCGAGACAACTATTTTTTTAAGTGTCTTTTTTAAGCCACGTAATGCAAGAATAAACTGTGGCTGTCATAAAAAATAACATAAATGATTTTTGATGCAACTCTGGTCATGCAAATTTCCGTATGTATCAAACTCAAACTGTTACAGTAAAAAATCTAAACGCAGTCGCTGCATCTCGGTGCCCTGCAAGATGAATAATAGTATATAAAAATAAATTTATACAGGAAAATGCATACAGAAATACAGTACGATTTAGTTGCAAAGATCAGAAAATACCACAGAGCTTGCAGCCCTTTGATTATGAATGATTGACTACTCAAATAGTTTATACTACTTAAGGCTGGATCTACACCTAGTCAAATTTTTTAAATGTCACATTTAGATAAGCTAAATAAATGGCCATTTCAACATATAATCAGGCACAATTTTTACTGAAATGTCTTATTAAGATTTCCCAGAATTTATACCTTTGTCTATGCTAAGATTATTATATTTCTATAAAATGTATAAATAAAAATAAACGGGAAAGTGATGCAATTAGCTAAAAACAATGGAGTTAATGAAAGGTGTACATTCTTTTGAAATAAATGGAAAAATGTGAGAAAAATATATTTTATAATTATTACAAATATTATTACAAATTATTAATTGATACAAATTCTTTATTTAAGTTCTTCACTCTTTTAAAATACCTATTGATTCTACTATAATTCAGGACACATGTTTCGCCTCTATTCAATACCTTGATTTTTGTTTACCATTGGCTTTGACTGCAACATATTATTTGAAACATCATGAGAATTCATTTTATTGATTGATTTTTTATGACCCCAAAGTGCGGTCGCTTGTCTGATGTATATGTACCTGTTTAACGCACTTTGGGGTCAAAATTGGACCCAATAGTGCGTCACGCACTCTGGGGTCGGACCCCAAAGTACGTAACGCACTTTGAGGTCGGACCCAAAAGTGCGTTTGACCCCAAAATGCGGTGTTACAATGCTGTAAATCAAAATAGAAAATATAGCAGTTTAATCTATAAGATGACTCACTTATAATAAATCTATTTACTCTCTTCAAGATGATGATAAACGACCAGCTGATCCTTGAGGAGGATTATGATGAAAACTATGTTCCTACCGAGCACGAAATTTGTGAGTATGCCGAATGTATTGGTATAGACCCTGGCCAGGAACCACATTTGCTCTGGATTGCCAGAGAAGGTGTCAATGCTAAACTTCCTGAAAATTGGAAGCCTTGGTATGTTTTTTTAATCAAAATATATTTTCTATATTATTACTTACATGTGATTGAAGTCAAACGGCTAACAATAAACAATACATCTTGAAAATTCAAAATATTTCAATATTAACATCAAATGATATCAAATGGTATGTTTTTGTATCAAAATATTTTTCTATAAAATACTTACCTGGATTTAATGTGATTGAAGTAAAACGGCCAAACTGCCAACAATGTATATTACATGTATTACATCTATTTCAATAGTTTCTTTATGAAATATTATAACATAATGAGTGTCTCTTAGAATTGAAGTTATACAGGATGTTATAAGTTTACATTTTTGAGAAAGAGAATGTCAGAGTTATTGACGAATAAAGTGCTTGAATTATACATGATTGAACGATATATCTGTTCTTCTGAGAAGTTACTTTCCTTCAAGTCAATGAATTGCATTGTTGCTCTTTGAACGGAAATAGTAAAGGATCAATGTTGTGATAACTCAATTTCTCTCCCAGCTAAATTGGTGTAACCTAGTATCCATGCGATTAAGCGACAAAAAGTAATTCATATCCTACCATTCATTCTTTAAAGAAATAAAAATGGTAACGGTCTGGAATATATTTTTTATGTGCAACATCAATAACTTATTTTCATGATATGGTTTTGTTACAATGCAGCCAAGATCCAGGTGGCGATATTTACTACTTCAACTTTGCTTCTGGAGAGAGTACTTGGGATCACCTATGTGATGAGTTCTATAAAAAGATGGTCATAGAGGAAAGGAAACAAACAGAAGGTGTTGTATATAACTCATAAGTTTTTTGTGTTTAAGATTGTTGTATCTATCAAAACGCACGCTCCTTTCTGAAATTAATTCACTACCATTAAGCTATCCATCCTTCCGTTCACCATTAAAACTGCTGCAATGGCATCATATGACCTCGAAGGTCTAGATTAGCATGAATGTGAAAGCCATTTGCTTTGATATAAATTAACCATTTACTTTATAACATTTTGTGCAGTTCAGATAGCTATTAGCTTATGTGACTATGAAAATACAATTCTTGACATGCATACTGCCTACGCTAATAAAGATATTATTTTAGGTGCAATGGCAAAAGGGGAAGACAAGCCAGAAAAAGCAAGAACAGATAAACATGTAGAGAAAAAGGACAAGTAATGTCTTAAAAAGGTATTTGGTATAGCTTTTTCATTTGGGTTACTTTTACATTTCAAGAATTCAAACTTAAATGCTATACAACATGTTAAATGTTTAACAATGATATGCATGTGGTTAATAATAAATATATAACCTGAAACAATATTACTTCTCCGCATCAAATAATTGAGTCAGTGCCTTCATTTCACCAATATATGTAAGGTTGTTCTGTCCAGTTTCCAAACTGTATTCCATCTTCACTGAAAAACTTTTAAACATTTTAAAATTGAAGTAATGATAGAAAGTTTACTTTTAATAAGAACACATCGTATCGAAACAAAATATGAATGTAGTTTATTGAGAACCAATGTCATATCTTTGAATGCTTTACATACCTACTGGTGTTCACCCATTTTAAATAACAAAACCACGACATATCATGTATTCCAGACATGAAAATTGAAAAAAAAGTTTGTTTAAATCACACACTGTACTCACAACATACTAAGTATCAAACATAATCGAGAATTTTCGTCATTATTTGCGACACGGGCTCTTTATGCACATAACCTTAAATATATGCACTTGGTATGGTGGTATAATGTTGTCTTGTTAATTAAAAGCATTTGAGCCGCGTCACGACAAAACCAACATAGTGCATTTGCGACCAGCAAAGATCAAGACCAGCCTGCGCATCCGCGCAGTCTAATCACAAATAGAGAAACTGATAGCGACCAGCATGGATCCTGATCAGACTTCGTGGATGCGCAGGCTAGTCTGGACCCATGCTGGTCGCAAACTATGTTGGTTTTGTCGTGACGCGGCTCATTTATTGAATCTCCATTAACTTGATCATTTTCAAAATATCATAGGCGATTTACAGGATTTTATACCAGTGGTGGTCGTAAAATGTCAGTATGGGGCATTGCATATTCCAGATGAGGATTTGGCATTTTACTTCGTTTCCAGAATGGATCAGTCAATTTATGCTTAATTTTCATATATTTTTGTGTAATTTCCACTAAATAACGTAAGTAAAGTTCAAATGCTCAGAGTGGTTTTTACATATCAGTCAAATCCAAGAAAAGGAGGCTGTGGCGTCAAACCCATACTGCTGAATACTTCTGCACTAGCTTCCAGCGTGCATATACATGTATCTGGTAGTACCTCATATCTGGAAAGACGCCATTTGACCAATACCCCCTATCTTATAACTGATTCTGTTTAAATAAACTTTATTCTTATTTTATCCAAATTTATTTTCAGCGGTCCAAGGAACACAGAGGATACATTCACTATCGGCTTGTTTGGTCCTCAGTATATACAACTATGTGCAGCATTTCTTTTTGTATTAAATTATTAAATGACTGACGTGAAACTTTTGAAGCGGCAAATTTCTCAAATATAGAATCAAATGTCTTTCAAGGCTAGTGTTCTCACTTAGAGGAGTAACCTTTAACTTAAACCACAGTAAATAATGACAATTAAAGTCTAACCTAGTATTGACTCTTTTTATATAAACATATAGCAGTAATTGTGAACGATGATCTTTCTTTTATACTTATTATCAAATAAACTTTTGTATTATCTTTTTGTTTTTGTACATATTATAAAATAGATTTTGTTATAATATTTTTGTTTTTGTACATAGAAGTATGTCTCCGTAATTTTCCTACATGTAAAGTATTCTAAGTAGCAAAATTTATAAACATTGAAAAACGACAGCTGAACAAAAAATGCATGTTCAACAATCATTTATGAGGTGACGAGTGTACACGGTGGCGACTGTATTGGTGGTCTCGTACTTGTATTCTTTGTTCTATAGTAAATCAGCCACATTTGAGGCTTTATTCCCGATTCCACTGTTCTTGAAGGGTTATATACTGCCTTCAACTTTAAACGTCACCATTATCTTAGTTAAATGAGACCCGAAATATAATATGTTAGCCATCTACTTTTTCAGAAATCTTTATTGTGTTGTAACACTGTATAAATTTACCATGACTGCTGGTAGATAGTACATCTTTAATCCTTCCGCCAACAAATGAGGTCCTAGAGAATACATAAAGTTATCATATAACACACACAGACTACACAGATGCAATTTATACACTTTAAGTATGACCAAACAAAATAAAGATGACTTAGATTGGGAAACCTTCAAATTTAAAAGAACAACTTTCTAGATTTAAACGGTTTGGGTCTTATTTCGTACCGGGTTGAGGCCTTATTTGACGACCGGTGTGACCAACCGTAACAATATATTTCTCTCACTATCTTTTAGAGTGTGCCCTGACTTTGACTTCCCCGTATTATCATTGAGTTACATTGTAAATGGCGGCGCCCGACTAAAACTGACACTGAAAATTTCATTGATAGGTATAGAATTCTATGTATTTTTTAATTGTTTTTATTTGATTTTCTTTCACATATACACGTGTAGTCTATAGCCGGGCAAGCCAAAGCCCGGACCCGCTTTGCGGGCCCGGTCTTTGACTTCCCCGTATCAAAATCTGATTTATTTACTAGCTTTTTATGCTGCCATTAGAGAAAATCTAATAATTATATATTCACTTTGAAATTTCGCTATTTCGCTCCGTATCGAGAATTAATCTCAATCTTAGTTTTTGTACTTTTTTATTGTCTTGATATTGATTTTATGTATGCACAGGTATATATAATATCAATATACGTACCTGGTATGCATGAGTAAAGTTTTACATGTTATAATTATAATTGAACTATCAGTATTTACGCATTTAACTTTTCAATAAGCTATTCTATTTCAATTCTATGGGGCCTTTATAGTACAATCCCCCATTAACGTCACATCCGGTAAGGGAAGTAACTCTTCCCTGACTGTTGTTGCTTAAATGAAAGGGTCTGGTTCTTATCTTCAAATCGCAGCGCATTTGTATACGGCAAAGCTGGGAGCCACGTTTGATTTGTCGAAAGATTTTGTAAATGGATTAAAACGGCGATAGTCTTGATGTTTATTTCGCCCGTTGCGTTGTTTATATTGACGTTGAAGTTTTAAATTGACCACCATCATGAAGAATTATATCTTCTGTGTTGATGGAGCAAAGGAATATGTGAAAATATTGGAAATGGAATAAAATACGTGGTGATTATGACGGTAGGTGTGTGGATTTTTTCCGGCGAACATTTTTATCCTGTGTATTTTTATAGACGTTGAAATATGATTTCTTTTCAAAACGGCTTAGCTGTATATGATCAGCACATGTGCTGGGATTGACAAATATACATTTTACTTTGATATTAAAGGCGTTTTGAGCTACACATCCCACGTGTCTGTGGTTCGGATCAGGATAGATAATTCAATCACAACTTTTCGATTCTTCCTACCAAACTTCGGATAAATACGGCGGATCAATCTAACCTACGCTACATGTTATGCAGTAGTCAGTCAATGTTGATATTTGTAAAGACAACCTAAATTAAGACAATTTATTGAATTTAAATTTAAAAGTACACTATCTTTTTAGTTATATTTATGTTTTTAAAAACCGAAAGTACAAAATGAAAGTATAAGAACGGACTTATTGATGATATTTCGATCGGTTATATATTATTGGGCAACTCATTGTCAGACGTACTTTTTAATCATAATATAACCGAAGTATACTTAATTTTCCAATGGATATCGATCTTTATACAAACATTGTTAACATCACGTGGTAGAACTATTTGTAATCCAGAAGATTATAAATAACAGGTATATGAACGAGTGTAGGACGATCAATACCAATAAAATATGCAGGATATTTCGGTTAGATGGGTTTATATGTAACTTAAAATGGTATGTTGTCTTATCTATATACAAACTATTTATATATCATTATTATAAGGAGAACGCTATTAGCATACAGACGTTTTACATTCATATTAGCAAGTCTTAGATCTTCGTATCAACGGTATATGCTCTTATTTCATTATATACGTTATGACTATTTACATATCATATTAACGCGGTAATTTATTTTTCTTCAATCTTTATTGAGATCATGCATTAACGATTTTTAGTTTACAATAGCTTTTGCTCTTAAATTTGGTTTGCAAATCATGGTCATGCAATTACATAATTAGGTAAAGAAGCAGGCGCTTGTTTTGGTTGAGTCTATTATGTTTTGTTTAGGGGGTGAGTTGTCATGTTACAGAAATTTACAATTTATATGCATTTATTATTTTTCGATGAATTCAATTATTTTAAATGATTCTGGGATTGTTTTTATCAAATTATTTGTAAATAAAATTGTTATATGTCCGATTAAAGACATAATTTTAATGAAACTAGTTAACACCTTAATGTGTATTGATTACGTAATGGTTTCAGCCAATGACATTACATCAATATGAAAAGGTTTGCAATTAGTTAATCGATAATCTTTATGTAGCAAACAAACTTTGAATTGCAAGTATTAATTTCATATTATATTTTCGGCTGAAGAAACTGTCCGAAAATGACCAGGCATTTCGTATCGTAATACGGCTGCTGTTACAGTATCACGTGATTATCCCAATCACCACCGCGACTTAACGCGGGAATTATAAATATAGCTAACATGGATAGGAATTACCTTTTTATATTTATTTGTAATAAATATTTACAAACCGTATCTTATTGGTTTTATTGGATCAATCGATAACAAATAATGATGTTTTTTGTAAATATATAATAATTTCTCAAATCTGTGACTATGGTTTTCATGAAATTCTACCTTTAATATATTAGAATGGTTTTTAATGCTCTGTAAGATAAAAAAAAAAGAAAAAGAAAGATCGTGTCCGTGTAAGCTAAGTTTTTTTATAAACTGGTGCCCAGAATTACGAGTTCAGAAAACAAAGAAATACTCGGGCAAAAACGGGTTTTTATTGTTTATATTTCTATCTCTGTGTGTTTGCAAGATTTTCATATGGTCTGTTCAGTGGAAGTTGGGTAATTTTGTGTAAATGTTTTAAAGCATAAATTGATCGTGCATTGTTCTTTTCTTGAAATCATTTTTTCTCATCTGAAGGCATACAACTTTAATATTATGATACATTTATTCACGGATTTATATCACAAATAAATTTATTACATTCCATGAACATGTTTAAAGATATAAAATAACTGATGACATGTTTGTTCATTTTACATAACACCTTTCATGCAGCAAGCATAAAAAGTCTTAACAGAAGTTAGAATGCAATCGTGTCTATATACCATACGAATGTATGTAATATTTTTCTTGTTAGTTCTTAAATTGACGATAATTGTTCAGTTAGTTTAAACATAGATTATTTCACAACGAGTATATAAGTCGAACACGATAACGTTTACAGTTTACATTAATAAGTCGTACCATTATGATATAATGGGTTGTTCAAGTTCTTCAATTTTTACATTTTGCATTTTTATTTCAATATAGAAGAATATATGTAAACACGTAAATCTAAGTAGCGTTCAGATTATGAAGATCTCAGGTTATAAACATGCATGGTTTTTCCGAGTTCAAACCTACAAGTGTGCACATTTTTTGAGTATGTTACCGTTTTTACCTTAAGAATATATTCATATAGTTGGCTTAAAGTTGGCAGTGTATATGTTTATACATGGATATGTTTGTAAGTACAATGAGTGTTTTTGATTAAAAGAAATTTAATGTTATATACAAGGCATGTATATATATATGCGTATGCAGTTGGTTGGTATCATGAAGTTCATATGCTTATTGTTCAGGTACCAATTTAACCACATAACAGTCATTAGTTCGTTTACAAGATGGTGGAACGTTGAATATTTCTAAAACCAAAGCGAAATGAATGATGCAATTTAAGAACGATGTGCGCTTTCTGTTTCTGATAAAGTGTAATGAGACTTATTGAAGAAATTTGCAGCCTTAATTGTCCGACACACTGAGATAATAATGATGATGATATGACAGTATTTCTATATTATGAGTGTTAATTTCCCTGTTATATTGTATTAGTTACATTTAATACAACTTATTAAAAACACTTCTTTAAAAGTTCCATAGAAACTTACAGATGTCACTACCAATCCTTTTGAATTACAGCAAAAGAAGATTTGAGTACAGTCACCAGAATATCTAACAGTAATATAATCTATCAAGGCATTAGGATAACTTGTCTTTTTTTAAGAAGATGATAAACGACCAACTGGTTCTCGATGAGGAGTATGATGAAAACCATGTTCCTCCCGAGCACAAAATTTGTGAGTATGCCCAATGTATTGGTATAGACCCTGACAAGGAACCATATTTGCTCTGGATTGCTAAAAAGGGAATAAATGCTCCTCTCCCAGAGACTTGGAAACAAAGGTATGTTTGTATATTTATATCAGCAAATGTAAACACTTATTTAATGTGATAAAAAATAGCAAGTAAAAGCTCTTCCTGAAGTTATACAGATTGTATTTCTGAAACCGAAATAATAAACATTTTTCTTAGTCCGTTACAAAAACATGACACGTTTCGATTATTGTAACTAATGTATGTTAAGATTTACATATTAATATAATAATATGACTTAATCTAATGCAGCCAGGGTCCAGATGGCGATATATATTACTTCAACTCTGTTACTGGAGATAGTATATTGGATCACCCATGTAATGAGGTCTACAAGAAGATTGTCATAGAAGAAAGGAAGAAAGTCAATTTGTCACAAACACAAGGTACAACATATACATGGATCATCCTTAGCCAATAACAAGAATGATGTGCCACAATGTGACCAATAATTAGATATATTTGATATATGTATTTTTTTCTAGACAATTGTGCAGTACATATAATTTATTTAATTGTAAAATCATTGACCTTTCTCGTGGCTTAAATCTTGATGTTCTTAGGTGACATGGGTGTATATAGTGTGCTCAATAGGGAGAGCATCGAATAAGTAATCAAGACATCGCTAGTCCGACCTTCGGGCGGGACGTAATTTCTCCACAGTTATAAATCTGTGACATTACTCTAATGATCATTTGGTTCTCATCACCATGTCAGATCAATAGTCAGTCACTTGCTGAAACATTGGCAAGTACTAGAAACTTATCCAGGAAAGCCGTTATGTGGACGGACTACCGAGATATGACAAAAAGTATTCAAATCGGCATACAAAAAAAAACTCCAGAAAAAAAGACAAATAGAAACAATTAGTTTAAGTTTTTATATAAAAAAGGAATTTTTATATAAAAAAGGAATTTTCATATAAAAAAGGAATTTTTATATAAAAAAGGAATAGCAACTGTGACACTTATTATTGTATGAGATAAATTTTGCAGATAAAATGACAACCAAAACAGACATTGACAAGACAGGAAAAGATAAAAGAAAAAGAAAAAAGGGAAAAGATAAACCGTCACAGGTGATGGTATCTGAAACAATTATGTTATATTTATAATTTCTTTCCTCTTTTTATTTCAACGGGAACTTTCAAGTAATTTCAAGAAATTGCAAGATTTAATCTTTTAATCACTTTCTTGTGTTACCAAACCGTATAATATTATGAAATAATTTTGAAACTTGGTATTTGAAAATAAGAGTTACGAACAGATGAAAATAAATAACTGATGATTCATATTGTTGCAATAATAGAAATAGAAACAAGTAAGACACGAAAAGGTAGAGTTCAGAAGAACTAATTATAAAATAGTATACAAGAACGCCTAAAGAGTCCGTGAATATGAGTAGATGATAATACGAAGATAAGAAAGACGTTAAAATACCTGATAGGTAAAATTTCTACGAAATCGAAAAATTTACTACGCTTTTTTCTGACGCATTGAAAAATGCAGACAAGAACCTCAATCAGGACACTTCCATTTTACACCTTCTGCCTTCATTTTCATTACATAAAATCATCAGATGAGGTTGGAGACGCGACGTATTATTTGGAAAAAACATCCGTCGTGTAACAAGATCCTGCCCCTGGTTAGTGGTGTCGTGGATTTTTCATAAATATGCCTTGCTTATCTAATATAAAATATAACTAAAACAAGAGCACCGCTAAGCGGAGCATTATATGCCCAAAAGTGATTTTTTTTAGTAAAGATGAAGCATTTGTAAGACACGGGAATTAAATAAGTATTACCTCCTTCACAAAACAATCCTCCTTTGAAGTTTCAATATTGTGGTCCAAATGGAACTTAAGTTATGCCCCGGAAACTGTTTTCAGTTCTAATGTAATAGTGACCTTGACCTTTGACCTTGTGACGCCAAAATCAATAGGGGTCTTCAACCCAAAATGGACAATCATCCTATGAAGTTTGAACACTGTGGGCCAAATGAAACTTAAGTTATCCTCCGGAAACTGTTTTCAGTTTTAAGGTCATAGTGACCTTGAACTTTGACCTTGTGACCCCAAAATCAATAGGGGTCCTCTGCCCAATATGGACAATCATCCTATGAAGTTTGAACACTGTTGGCCAAATGGAACTTAAGTTATCCTCCGGAAACTGTTTTCAGTTTTAAGGTCATAGTGACCTTGATCTTTGACCTTGTGACCCCAAAATCAATAGGGGTCTTCAACCTAATATGGACAATCATCCTATGAAGTTTGAAAACTGTGGGCCAAATGAAACTTAAGTTATCCCCCGGAAACTGTTTTCAGTTTTAAGGTCATAGTGACCTTGAACTTTGACCTTGTGACCCCAAAATCGATAGGGGTCTTCTACCCAATATGGACAATCATCCTATAAAGTTTGAACACTGTGGGCCAAATGGAACTTACATTATGCTCCGGAAACTGTTTTCAGTTTTAAGGTCATAGTGACTTTGACCTTTGACCTTGTGAACCCAAAATCAATAGGGGTCTTCTACTCAAAATGGACAATCATCCTATGAAGTTTGAATACTGTGGGCCAAATGGAACTTAAGTTATCCTCCGGAAATCAAATTGCTAACGGACGGATGGACGGACGGACGCCAGGGGGCATAACATAATATGCCCGAAATTCTTTCGGGCATATAAAAAGGGTGGTATTTATTTATTCAATTTTGCTATGCTGTAAATCAATATAGAAAATATGGCAGTTCAATCTATCAGGAGACTCACTTATAATAAATCTATTTACTCTCTTCAAGATGATGATAAACGACCAGCTGATCCTTGAGGAAGCTTTTGATGTTTATACCGAGGATGATATTTGTGAGTATGCCAAGTTTATTGGTATAGACCCTGACAAGGAACCACATTTGCTCTGGATTGCCAGAGAAGGTGCTAAGGCTCCACTTCCTGAACATTGGAAATCGTGGTATGTTTTTTTAATCAAAATATTTTTCTATATTAATACTTACATGTAATTATAAAGTCAAACAAGCATTACATCTTGAAAATTCAAAATATTTCAGTAGCATTTTATGAAATAAATTTTATTTATATATCAAATGATATCAAATGGTCTGTTTTTTGTATCAAAATATTTTTCTATAAAATACTTACCTGGATTAAATGTGATTGAACTAAAACGGCTAAACGGCCAAGCAACAATGTACATTACATCTATTTCAATAGTTTCTTTATGAAATATGATAACATAATGAGTGTCCCTTAGAATTGAAGTAATAACGGGTGTTGTCAGTTTACAGTTTTAAGAAAGAGAATGTTAAAGTTATTAACGAATGAAGTGCTTGAAATATTCATGTTAAACGACCCATTACCCGTTCTTCTAAGATGTTACTTTGCCTCAAGTCATTGAATTGCATTGTTGCTCTTTGAATGGACAAAGTAAAGGATCGATGTTGTGATTACTCAAATTCTGTCCCAGTTAAATTGATGCAACCATATATGCGATAACGCGACATCCTATCATATCCCATCACTCAGCTGATGCTGTGTTTATTGTTATAAAAATGGTTACGGTCTAGAATATATTTTTATGTGCAACATCAATGACTTATTTGCATGATATGGTTTTGATATAATGCAGCAAAGATCCAGATGGCGATATTTATTACTTCAACTTTAATACTGGAGAGAGTACATGGGATCACCCACGTGATGAGTCCTACAAAAAGATGGTCATAGAAGAAAGGAAGAAAGTCAAATTGTCACAAACACAAGGTACAACATATATTAGCCAATAACAAGAATGATGTGGCACAATGTGACCAATAATAACATATATTTGATATATGTATTTTTACTAGACAATTGTGCAGTTTATATAAGTTATTTAATTGTAAAATCATTGACCTTTCATGTGGCTTAAATCTTGATGTTCTTAGGTGACATGGGTGTATATAGTGTGCTCAATAGGGAGAGCATCGAATAAGTAATGTCCGACCTTCGGGCGGGGCGTAATTTCTCCACAGGTATAGATCTGTGACATTACTCTAATGATCATTTGGTTCTAATCACCATGTCAGATCAATTTTCAGTCGCATGCGGAGACATTGGCAAGTACCGGAAACTTATCCAGGAAAGCCGTTATGTAGACGGACTACCTAGATATGACAAAAAGTATTCAAATCGGCATACAAAAACACTCCAGAAAAATAGACAAATAGTAATAATTAGTTTAAGTTTTAATATTAAAAGGAATTGGAACTGTGACACTATTGTATGACATCAATTTTGCAGATAAAATGACAACCAAAAAAGACATTGACAAGACAGGAAAAGATAAAAGAAAAAAGGGAAAAGATAAACCGTCACAGGTGATTGTATCTGAAACAATTATGTTAAATTTATTATTTCTTTCCTCTTTTTATTTCAACGGAAAAGATTCAAAGTAATTTTCAGAAATTGCAAGATTTATTTTTTTATTTTATGCTTTTCATTGGATTACTGATTTATTCGTGAAAATTATATTTGATAATTTCACAGTGAAAATTATCAAAATATAATTTCACACTTTTCAAAGATGACACTAAAGATTTTCCCTATGCGGTACCTAAATTTTATTAGTGTTGACAATTCTCACATTGTCAGGGCTGTTTAAATTTAGAGAAAAGCGAAGCTGAAATAGATAAATAACTGAAATTTCAAAAGTAATAAAAAGAAGAAAACTTACTTCAATTCATTCAAATTACCAATCACCCAATATCATCTCTAAATATTTGTTTCATGTTTACAGTCTGAAAAATACAATTCCTTCCACATGCAGAACTGCTCTTGATGACATTTGGGCGTATTTAAGTATCCTACGAGCAATAACTGCCTAATAACTTGAAAAGCAATGACAGACATTAGCCCGAAGAATAAGTAAATAACCTAGCGTTCGTAAGTTTGTCAGGACTTACAGACTAAGGCAGCCTTTCAAAAAGTCCATGTGTTCCAGTTCCATAGCCGATTTTGAATGTTTACTCATCTGTCAACACTTATTCATTGTCTGTAATAATCCTCAAAAAAGTTTTCTTTCTTCTTAAAAGGTGTATGACTAACAAATCCAAATGATATCCCTCTGAATCAAACACAATTATTTTCCTCCAATGGAATACACAATTTTAAAAATGGCGGCCGTTTACATTTCACAGAGCCAAGTCTTATATAAATACGCCGTAAGTAACTGATATATGGATGGATGGTTTGACTTTTTCTCCAAATAGAATTGTTTGTTTATATTAATAAAACAAGCGATCTTTCATATTATTTGAATAAAATGAATATTATCCTCGCCATTTAACGTTGATTGTCGAACTTATTTTCAGCCCAAAACTTCTTGTATTTTATGAAAAATTCGACTAATAGAGAAGCTACCAATGGGGAAAACAGATTTTAATATTAAAATTAATATCAAGGAAATTTAGTTTTAACTTGTTTTTAAGCATAAAACAAAAAGAAAATGTGTTTGTTTGTTGTGTAAGATGTAATTTTATTTCATCTCGTGAACTTTAAAAACAGTATTCTCACTCGTGGCTACGCCACTCGTGAGAATACTGTTTTTAAAGCTCACGAGATGAAATAAAATTTGATCTTACACACAAACAAACAAATATCCTCCATTTAATCACCTTAAGCTTCTTGTGTTACCAAACCGTATAATATTATGAAATGTTGTTGAAACTATGTATTTGAGAATAAGAGCTACGAACAGATGACAATAAATAACTGATGATTCATATTGTTGCAATAATAGAAATTAAAACGTAAGGCAAGAAAAGGTAGAGTTCGGAAGAACTAATTATAAAATAGTATACAAGAAAGCCTAAAGAACCTTTGAATATGAGTAGATGACAATACGCAGATAATAAAGACGTTAAAATACCTTATAACTTATATTTCTACGAAATCGAGAAATTTGACAACGCTTTTTTTCTAACGCATTGAACAATGCAGGCAACAACATCAATCAGGACAATTCCATTTTACACCTCCTGCCTTCATTTCTTATTACATAAAATCATCAGATATGGTTGGAGACGCGACTTATTATTTGGAAAACATCCGTCGTGTAACAAGATCCTGCCCCTGGTTAGTGGTGTCGTGGATTTTTCATAAATATGCCTTGCTTATCTATTGTTAATTATCAAAAGGGTGATATTTATTTATTCAATTTTGCTATGCTGTAAATCAATATAGAAAATATGGCAGTTCAATCTATCAGGAGACTCACTTATAATAAATCTATTTACTCTCTTCAAGATGATGATAAACGACCAGCTGATCCTTGAGGAAGCTTTTGATGTTCATACCGAGGATGATATTTGTGAGTATGCCAATTTAATTGGTATAGACCCTGACAAGGAACCACATTTGCTCTGGATTGCCAGAGAAGGTGCTAAGGCTCCACTTCCTGAACATTGGAAATCGTGGTATGTTTCTTTAATCAAAATATTTTTCTATATTAATACTTACATGTAATTATAAAGTCAAACAAGCATTACATCTTGAAAATTCAAAATATTTCAGTAGTATTTTATGAAATAAATTGTATTTACATATCAAATGATATCAAATGGTCTGTTTTTTGTATCAAAATATTTTTCTATAAAATGCTTACCTGGATTAAATGAGCCGTGTCACGACAAAACCAACGTAATGTGTTTGCGACTAGCATGGAACCAGTCTAGCCTGAGCATCCGCGCAGTTTGATCATGATTCAGGCTGTTCGCTTACAAACACTATTACAAGTAGAGAAACTGATAGCGAACGGCATGGATCCTGATCAGACTTCGCGGATGCGCAGGCTGGTCTGGATCCATGCTGGTCGCAAACGCATTATGTTGGTTTTGTCGTGACGCGGCTCAAATGTGATTGAACTAAAACGGCTAAACGGCCAACCAACAATGTACATTACATCTATTTCAATAGTTTCTTTATGAAATATGATAACATAATGAGTGTCCCTTAGAATTGAAGTTTTAACGGATGTTGTCAGTTTACAGTTTTAAGAAAGAGAATGTCAAAGTTATTGACGAATGAAGTGCTTGAAATATTCATGATTGAACGACCCATTACCCGTTCTTCTAAGAAGTTACTTTCCCTCAAGTCATTTAATTGCATTGTTGCTCTATGAATGGAAATAGTAAAGGATCGATGTTGTGACTACTCAAATTCTCTCCCAGCTAAATTGATGCAATAACGCGACATCCTATCATATCACATCACATCACTCAGCTGATGCTGTGTTTATTGTTATGAAAATGGTTACGGTCTGGAATATATTTTTATGTGCAACATCAATGACTTATTTTCATGATATGGTTTTGATATAATGCAGCAAAGATCCAGATGGCGAAATTTATTACTTCAACTTTGTTACTGGAGAGAGTATATGGGATCACCCATGTGATGAGTTCTACAAAAAGATGGTCATAGAAGAAAGGAAGAAAGTCAAATTGTCACAAACACAAGGTACAACATATATTAGCCAATAACAAGAATGATGTGGCACAATGTGACCAATAATAACATATATTTGATATATGTATTTTTTACTAGACAATTGTGCAGTTCATATAAGTTATCATCTAATTGTAAAATCATTGACCTTTCTCGTGGCTAAAATCTTGATGTGTGCTCAATAGGGAGAGCATCGAATAAGTAATCTAGACATCGCTAGTCCGACCATCGGGCGGGGCGTAATTTCTCTACAGTTATAGATCTGTGACATTACTCTTATGATCGTTTGGTTCTTTCTCATCACCATGTCAGATCAATAGTCAGTCACTTGTGGAGACATTGGCAAGTACTGGAAACTTATTCAGGAAAGCCGTTATGTTGACGGACTACGGAGATATGACAAAAAGTATTCAAATCGGCGTACAAAAACACTCCGGAAATATAGACACATAGAAATAATTTGTTTAAGTTTTTATATAAAAAAAGGAATTGGAACTGTGACACTAATTATTGTATGAGATAAATTTTGCAGATAAAATGACAACCAAAAAAGACATTGACAAGACAGAAACAAACAAAAAAGACATTGACAAGACAGGAAAAGATGAAAGAAAAAGAAAAAAGGGAAAAGACAAACCGTCACAGGTGATTGTATCTGAAACAATTATGTTAAATTTATCATTTCTTTCCTCTTTTATTTCAACGGGAAACTTTCAAAGTAATTTTAAGAAATTGCAAAAAGATTTACTCTTTTAATCACCTTCTTGTGTTACCAAACAGTATAATAGTATGAAATGTTGTTGAAACTTGGTATTTGAGAATAAGTAACACTTCCATTTTACACTTCCTGCCCTCATTTCTCATAACATAAAATCATCAGATGAGGTTGGGAACGCGACTTATTATTTGGAAAAACATCTGTCGTGTAACAAGTTCCTGCCCCTGGTTAGATGGGTCGTGTATTTTACATAAATAAGCCTTGCTTACCTAATATTAATTATAATCAAAAGGGTGGTATTTATTTATTTTATTTTGCTTTGCTGTAAATCGAAACAGAAAATATAGCAGTTAATCTATCAGGAGACTTACTTATCAAATCTATTAACTCTCTTCAAGATGATGATAAACGACCAGCTGATCCTTGAGGAAGCTTTTGATGTTCATACCGAGGATGAAATTTGTGAGTATGCCGAGTTTATTGGTATAGACCCTGACAAGGAACCACATTTGCTTTGGATTGCCAGAGAATGTGTCAATGCTCCACTTCCTGAACATTGGAAACCTTGGTATGTTTTTCTAATAAAAATATTTTTCTATATTAATACATACATGTGATTGAAGTCAAACGGCCAACAATAAACATAACATCGTCGTGCTAGTATAATAAGGTCCTAAGTGCCATTATGTAACATTGCGGGAAATCGAGCTTTAAATTTTAGTTAACAGAAAAATGTTACTAGACCATGTAATGATGGAGATTTTTTGAATGAATCATTATTATGTTCTATCATAACTTGCAAACAAAGATTTTACACGATATCTTTAGAGATATTTTCTAAAACCGGATTTTTCATTTTGAGATAGAGCTTTTTGCTTATTTGTACTTGCCGGAAGCTTAGAATTATGTTGCACACGGAGATAGAGCGTTTTAAAACTGCCCAGGATAGTATGAACTAGGATATAGGATATTTTAAAACTAATAAATATGTTCAATTCTAATGAAAGCAAATAGGATTATTATGGTATTTGTATAAACAAACTAAAAATTCTGGTCAATACTTGTATTTTTATCTTTCAGCTACACATTTTGATATAACTTGTGACAAAGAAATAAATTTGAATAAATTATTTCACCTGTTGGCATCAGTAACATACAAGTTTTGTAATAGATCGCAATAAACTACTTGTACTTTACCTGCATTGTGAATTTTTACAAAACTGAAACAAAAGATTTCAACACAATCACTTTAAATATTTATCATATAACTATAAGGCAATAGTTTTTCCAACCTAAAAAAATTCTGCAATATTAACGAACAAAAACACTTTATTCACTTAGTTACAGACACAAACTGAATATAAAATCAACTCTCTGATAAAATGGAAATTTTAACATGTTTATCTGTTACTTTGTCTTGAATTAATTCTTGATTTTATCTCTCTCTGTTAAAAAGACCAAAATGTTAAAAAAATGCCCTCGATAGATTTACAATAAAAATGCAACAACTCCTGTCACAATTTAATAGGCAGCACATACTACAAAAACATAATGATAGATTGGAGGATTTGCAAAAACTTCTTTCACCTGAAAGAAACTTTACTCATTTTGAAAACTATGAAAGGAACAGTCAATGTAACCATTTGCAATAAGTTCTTTAAACTATATGTGATCCTCCTTTTCTGCCAATAAGAGTGAAAATAAAAGTTTTAAAGGAACTTGATTGTTCACCTGATAACATTTGCATGAGAAAAAATATATACTAGTAATTGACAGTAGTTGATGACATAATCTAATCGCAGGAAAGTTGTTTAAGTCTGCAATGTGAGACTTTAAGTTTTATTCTAGATGTGACAATTATAAAATTGGACTGTCTGAAATATCTAACCAATATGTTGATATACAGTGACTGAGCGAACTAAAATCATTGGTAAATTTTAAATGTTGAACAAGATGAATATTCATGGAATTAAAAATAGTTTAAGCCCACGAGCATGTTGGAAAATATTGTGGGTGCCTCTATCGTTTAAGCTAAATGGAAAAGAAAATTCAAAATTTCTCATAAAAGGCAAAAACATTTAATGCGCGGTTGTGGAGTCTTTAACATGTTAATGAAACACTGTCAAGTAAAAATTCTAATGGAAGAAATCTCAAAATAAACACTAGTATATGTTCTGGCATCTGCATTCAATGAAACACACTCTAATCTCTGAAACAATTAAAGTATCTTATACTACAACAACCGTTGGTTATATAGAAGACAGTATATTAAAACAAGAAACAACAACTATAACCGAAATTCAATCATCCGAATATATCCATAGTTCAAAAGTTATATTTTATAAAATTTATAACGACTTTTTTCACGATACCTTGTTAATTTTTTTTTGATAACTCAAATAGATGATTAAAATGTTTCAGAATAAGTACATTAGCCTTAAACAACACTGCCTTCCATTTATTGCCATGTTTTAGAAAATATTAAAACAAAATAAAAAATTTCTCTTTAAAATTACAATACCCTATCTCCAGGAGTAGTGTTTATAACCATTTATATTTTAAAGGCGGTAACCATATATAATGGCATTATCTCTTTTAAAAGATTAAAAGGTTTTGCTTTGACTTAATGGTAATATTTCCTACCAATTTATCAAATATGATACTAAAAACTAATTTACTTCTGGTAGCCAGTTTAAGCAATGGTGTCAATGCTTTTTGACAAAGCAAAATCTGTCACATGACCTCGCACACAATCACTGATTGGCTCATGGACATAGAGCAACATAATAATTAATTCAACTATTATTTTCGAAAATGGAAAATGATATACATGCTATTATATCAAGCAGGGTAACCTCATGCATAAATGGAAACCACCTGGAGATAGATCTTTTAATTCTGAATCCAGTGGTATATCATACTCAATTTTCATGAAAATGGAGATAGGACCTTATAATACTAGCACGACGACATCTTGAAATTTCAAAATATTTCAAAAGCTTTTTATGGCATACAATGTATTTATATATCAAATGATATCCAATGGTATGAGTTGTTGACGAATGAAGTGCTTAAAAAATTCATGATTGAACGACCCATTACCAGTTCTTCTAAGATGTAACTTTGCGTCAAATCATTTAATCGCATTGTCACTATTTGAACGGAAATAGCAAAGGATCGATGTTGTGATTTCTCAAATTCTCTCCCAGCTAAATTGATGTAACCATACATGCGATAACGCGACATCCTATCATATCACATCACATCACTCAGCTGATGCTGTGTTTATTGTTATAAAAATGGTTACGGTCTGGAATATATTTTTATGTGCAACATCAATGACTTATTTTCATGATATGGTTTTGTTATAATGCAGCAAAGATCCAGGTGGCGATATTTATTACTTCAACTTTGTTACTGGAGAGAGTATATGGGATCACCCATGTGATGAGTCCTACAAAAAGATGGTCATAGAAGAAAGGAAGAAAGTCAATTTGTCACAAAAACAAGGTGTTGTATAAAATTCATCATGGTCCTCTGTGTTTGAATAGTTAAGATTGCTGAATCTATCAAAACGCACGCTCCGGTCTGACATAATCCAAAAGCGTACAGCTAGCCATCCCTCAGCTCACCATCAAAAGGCTGTAATTGCAACATATGACCTAAAACGTTTTAAACAGCAAGAATGTGAAAGTCATTTGCATTAATATGACTAAACCCTTTGCCCTATGGCATTTTGCAAAGTGTGGATAGTTATTTCTTACATTGAATATCTTTATATTACCAGCAGGTGAATATAAGAATACATGTATAACTATTGACCTGTATACCATCTACGCCAAAATTTATTTTATTTGCAAAGAAAGGGAAATTAATATTATGAGTTTATTAGGCGATGTTATTTTAGGTACAATGGCAAAAGGAGAAGATAAGCAAGAAAAAGGAAGAAAAGTTAAACATAAAGAGAAAAGGGACAAAATAATAAAGTCTTAAAAAGGTATTTGGAGTAGAGTTATTCATCTGGGTTACTTTTACATTTCAAGCATTGCTGCATAAACTTAAAACGATGATCACGTGATTAATAATTAATATTTAATTATGCTTCTCCGCATCAAAAAATCAATTGAGTCAGTGCATTCATTTCACCATTATGCGAATGGTTATTCTGTCCAGTTACCATACATTTCCGCCTTCACTGAAACAATTTTGAACATTTTAAAAATTGAGGTAAGGATAGAACGTTTACTTTTAATAAGAACACATCGTATCGAAACAAAATATGAATGTAGTTTATTGGGTACCAAGGTCATATCATTTAAATGCTTTACACACCTAGTGTTCACCCATTACCAGTATCTTATAAATTTTAGACCTGAAAATTGAAAAACTTTGTTTCAATCACACTCTGTACTTACAATATCTTAAATATCAAACATGATCGACAATTTTCGTCATTTTGGGGATACGGGCTCTTCATGCATATTACCTTCTATTTATGCACTTGGTATGGCGATATAATGTTGTCTTGTTTAAAATATTTCCTTATCAAAATCATTAATTGAATGGCCATTAACTTAAACATTTTCAAAATACCGTAGGGGACAGTCGCGTATCCAGGATTTTATACCAGTGGTGGTCGTTAAATGTCAGTAAGGGGTATTGCATATTCAAGATGAGGATTTGGTATTTTACTTCATTTCCAGAATAGATCAGTCAATTGCTTAATTTTCATTTGTTTTTGTGTAATTTCCACTAAATAACGTATTAAGTTAAGTTCCAATGCTCAGAGAGGTTATTATTTATCAGGCAAATCCGTGAGATTGTCATGGCGACATACCCATACTGCTGAATACTTCTGCACAAGTTGGCGTGCAGATACGTGTGTCTGGTAGGACCTCATGACTGGAAAGTTGCCCTCTGACCTATGGGGTTTTGATAAGATGTAAACCGCAAAAAACTCTTATAACTGATTTTGTTTTGATAAACTTATTTCTTATTTTATCAAAATTTTTATTTTCAGGGGTCCAAGGAACTCAGAGTATACATTCACTGTCCGCTTGTTTGGTCTTCAGTATATACAGCTATGTGCAGCATTTTTTGTATTAAATTAAAAATAACTGATGGGGAACCTATGCAACGACAAATTTGTCAAATATAGAAGTAAATGTCTTTCAATGCTTTTGTACTCACTTAGAGGAGTAACATAAACCTTAAACCAATGGAGTTTTAGGATAGTAAACAATGACAATTAATGTCTAACCTTATTGACCCTTTTTTATATATACATGTATACATGTATAACTAGGGGCGTCCGCGGCCGAGTGGTTAAGGTCATTGACTTTAAACCACTTGCCCCTCACCGCTCCCAGACAGGGACTTTGGATTCTTTCTTGTGAGGAAGCTATCCAGCTAGCTTACGGAACGTCGTTGGTACTACTCAGGTGCCCGTTTGAGCCTGAAATAATGCACCTGAGGTCTTCCTCCACCAGTTAAACGCTGGATAGTCGCGATATGACCTATACTGTGTCGATGTGACGTAAAACCCAAAACAAACAAACAAACAAAAATTTATAACAACATATATGAGTAATTGTGAATATGATCTTACTTAGTTATTGATCTTTACTTTATACATGTACTTATTATCAAATAGATTTCTGTATAATCTTTTTATTTTTGTACATATTTTCAAATAGATTTTTGTATAATCTTTTTGTTTTTGTACATATACAAAATTTTCTGTATAATCTTTTTATTTTTGTACATATTTTCAAATAAATTTTTGTAAAATCTTTTAGTTTTTGTACATAGAAGTATGTCTTTGTATTTTCCTACATGTAAAGTGTTCTAAGTAGCAAAATTTATAAACATTAAAAAACGACAGATGAACAATAAATGCATTTTCAACAATCATTTATGATTATGATTTGTAAGGTGACGAGTTTACACGGTTGCGTCTTCATTGATGGTCTCGTAGTCGTACTTGTTGTTCTATAGTAAATCAGCCAAATTTGAGGCCACAGTTCCTGAATTATTTAACCCTTTCCCTCATGAGAATATTGTGAAAAATGGCCGTTTTCATTGAAAAGCCTCCTGTTACAAGTTCAAACTGCTATGAAACTATGAAAAATGCTTCAATACTAATCAAACTTGGCACAAATGTTGACTGGACCATTGCCTTTGTAACAACATGCTCAGTCTTAAATTTTCTGTTACCATGGCAACGGGGGGACATCTCAAATTTGCCAAAAATCACTATTTTGCCTTGATTTTTTTTCCATCAAAATTTATTTCAAAGTGCTGCAACTTCTCAAGGGATTGAGATAGAGTAAAATGCTTTTCAACGTTGGTTACACGTTAGCTTATGATCGACCTGGGGTCATTTTTAGCCTCTCGCAAGTCCAAAATTTCTTGGCGATGAGGGGGACTGCCTCCCCCCTTCAAACCCCCAAACAAAAGGGGCACATCCCCCTTCTGTCAACCCCCCTGATGAATCTTTTGGATAGGGGCGGCGCCGAAAAAGTGGTCACTTTTTTAGCAACATTTCTCAAACGAAAACATGTGTTGGAGGCAAAATAGGACATTTTTTCACTATTTTAGGCCTAAAAGAGGGGGGGGGGTCGAAAGTGCGTTGTTTCGCGTATATATGAGGTAATGGGTTAATGTCTTCAACTTTAAACGTCAACACATTCTAAGCCAAATGAGGCCCGAAATATAATATGTTAGTCATCTACTTTTATTCTGTTGTAACACTGTTTAAATTCACCATGACCGCTGGTGGGTAATACATCTTTAATCCTTCCGCCAACAAATGAGGTTTTAGAGAGAATACATAAACACAACTTTTAAAGTTATCATATAACACACACATACTACACAGATGCAATAAATACACTTTAAGTATGACCAATCAAACTAAAGATGAGTTAAATTGGGAAACTTTCAAATTTAAAAGAACAACTTTTTATATTAAGACGGTTTGGGTCTTATTTCGTACCGGGGTGAGACCTTATTTGGCGACCGGTATGACCAACCGTAACAATATCTTTCTCTCGTGCGTTGACTTTAATGATAGTAGAACTATATAATTATCTTAATAGGAGTTCTTGGCGTCATCCGAGCGGATTTAGGTTAGATCATCTCATGAATTGCACTAGCAAAGCAAAATTAGCCAAATAAAAATTGTTTTGTAAAGTTAATATGGATGTTGTCAAATAGTTTCTGTTAGTAATGACATTTGTAACAAGCCAGTAGTTTGTATAACAGTATCATTACTTTTCAAACTAAAATTCTGATACCATTTATTAATATTAGAAACGAAATTCTCTAATTTGTACACGTGTAAGTAAGGCCCTCCAAACTTGCGCAAAAACGAATTTGTAAAACAAACAGACAAATGGTGTTAAAAATAGCTCGAGAAAATAGTTGAATTTTTTTTTTCGAAAATTTATACAGCTTATATACATAAAGATCAAATCGCCGGCCAAGAAAACGACGCGGAAATCTCACTGACATATTGATTGCATTGGGACTTTGTTATTTATGATGTGTAAGAAAGACTCTCCAAACCTTCAAAAATCGAATTTGCAAACAGTCAAAGAAATGAGCCGCGTCACGACAAAACCAACATTATGCGTTTGCGACCAGCATGGATCCAGACCAGCCTGCGCATCCGCGCAGTCTGATCAGGATCCATGTTGTTCGCTTACAAACCCTATAACAGGAAGAGAAACTGATAGCGAACAGCATGGATCCTGATCAGACTGCGCGGATGCGCAGGCTGGTCTGGATCCAGGCTGGTCGCAAACTCATTATGATGGTTTTGTCGTGACGCGGCTCAAATGTTGTTAAAAAGATTGGCTTGAGAAAATGCTGCTTTCTACAATAATTTACATAAGGAAGGGCAAATCGACGTTCCAGAAAACGACCATGCTTCGCGAAAATCTCACGGACATATTTATTGTGTTAGGGCTTTGGTCTTTGTAATGTGTAAAGAAGACCCTCCAAACTCGTACAAAATCGAATTTGCAAAGGATCAGGCAAGAGGTGTTTATCCAATTACTGCAGAAATATTTGTTTTTATTCTGTTACAAGTTCAAATTGCAATGAAACTAAAAGGAATGATCAAACTTGGCCCAAACGTTGACTGGACCATAGCCTTTAATTGTAACGGCATGCTCTATCTTAAATTTCCTATTACCATGGCAACGAGGGGACATCTCAAAATTCCCAAAATTCACCATTTAATTAGCGTTGATTTTTTCATCAAAACTGATTTTAAAGTGCTACAACTTCTCAGTTGATTGAGATAGAGTCAAACTGGTGGGTAGTGAAAAAAATGCAAGCTAGCTACCATCCACGGGTCGACTTAATCAGAACTGAACATTTCACACGAATGGCAACATCCGCAGATGTTTTTATCATGAACCTCAATGTGACACGTTATTTTAAAATCACAAAATAAAATCTGGGAATCACACTGGCCATTCTAAAAAAATTGTAAATGCAAGTTCTTATCATTCTAAGATACTAGTAGTTCTAAATTATCATTCTAAGATACTAGTAGTTCTCAATTATCATTCTAAGATACTAGTAGTTCTAAACTAAAATAAAAAGGATAGTTCTTGCCATTATGAAATAAAATGTAAAGGATAGTTCTAAAATAAAATATACAGGATAGTTCTTTAACCTTCTAGTTAAATACTTGATATTTGAATTCTGTTTAACAATAATTCTTCCATAAATGTTTCTCAACTATTTCTTTTGTCAGTCCAGGTTATTTGGTAAAAATTCCTTGTGTAAGTATTTCACCCATATAACTTACTTTATACTTGTTTTTCTTTTCCGTCCTTCAACAAAAGCTTGAATTCGATTAAATCTATATTGTAGGCGAAGATGTCGGTGTAATATAATTTCTACCGCAATTGTATGAGCTTCAGAATATAAGCAACCATGCAGAATAAAGGTCTTCATCCAGCCGATCTGTTTAATTCACCCACACCAAGAAATTTCACATCTCTGCAGGTTCGCTCATTTTATTTGTATGTCTGCAGAACTTCATTAGCCAAACAACTTAACTATCCCCTAAATAACAAACTTGACAGTGTTGTGTAAATGCTATTGAATACAAACATAAGTGTGGCCATTTTATAATAATACTGTATATGAGACTGATTGATACCACGCTTGCGTGATCTTTATTTTCTGTCACAATGTTAGCCACTTTCTGAGCGGCAGCCTAAAAACAAATCTGCCTGCAAAGACAGCCTGTTCTCCTCGACCAGGCAAGTTTGGACATTTAAACATTCTCAAGAAAAAAAACACTGAGTTGATATTAGGCAAGCGTGACCCTAGACTACGATTGTTTTTATGTATAATACGAAATATTTCTATTTATTTTAAAGGAAAGATATTTTGAAGGAATTTTTTTTCTTCTAATTTTCTAGGTTTTTTTGTGTGTACGAGAAAATGCCAGAAACATCCATTTGATATATACATGTAGTATTTATTTCCCACAGATCAACTATAATTAAACCCTTAGCTTGCATGTTCTTATAAATCCAGATATTTAAGTAAAGACCCTAATAAACATGAAATTTTATAAAAATGTATACTTTATATTTGCACCTAAAATGCACCATTTATAATAAGCAGATTCCAATTTTCCTGCACGACAGGACGCCCTGGGGGAGGAGGTAATCCGGTTGTTTTAAACTTCAGCATCCCCTGCCGAAAAAGTATGTGCACATCGGCCCGTGCCTAGCCTGTCACATGTTTATACCGTAAATTATAAGGGTCGGGAAGATGTTATCCATGTCAAAATTAAAGTCTCATTCGTGAGCACCATCCAAACAGGTTGTGTAAATTTGGATTAGGGGCGATCTGAATAAATTTATGAAAACATTTAATTGGCAAAGTATCACTATCAGTGTACGTCCCATACAGTGACCTATTTAATTTCCTCTTTGACTCCGGAGGTAATTTATACGGCATGACTATATAGTGCAATTACTGACATGTCCGCATCCCCTCGGTACGTGTGCGTCGTTGAGAAGACACAGTGCATCGGCAGATGATTTAAGATTCAATGCTACGTCTATGGATGGATGGATGGATAGATAGATAGATAGATAGATAGATAAAACATCATACCAAGGATAACACAAGAAAGAGAACTTAATCTCTTATTTCTATTGTGGTCCTTAGATACTGATGGTTTTGACAAAGAGAGGCATGAAAATAACTTATCACAGTTTTAATTGAAGAAAAACAATAGTATACATATAAATGTTCAAATTAAAATAAATAAATTAAAATAATAAATATTAAGACTAGAGGATAGACACCATTAAGAGAGATAATTACCCATTAAGTAAATGTTTTTAACAGATAATTTAAAAATGTACAATTTTGATTCCATCCAAATAGAAGAGGGTAGTTTATTCCACAATACACATCGAGTGTAAGCAAAAGACTTTGATCCGAAACCTTTGACCTTAGGTAGCATATAACACCCATTTTCACTTGACCTGGTCCTGTAGGTATGAACAGAATCTAATGGAATAAAGTTTTCTCCCATATATTCAGGGGCAAGTCCATGTTTTATTTTTAAAACGTTACAGAGGATAATTTGATTGACTCTTTTCTGGACAGGCAGCCAATTTAAAATTTAAAGTGTTCATTATCAATATGTGACCTATAACCAAGATTTAGAACAAATCTTATTAATTTATTTTGTGTGACTTGGATTGACTTGGTGTGACTTGTGATATGCAGGCTTCATAACCTCAGATCCCCTTTCAAAATTCCATTTTATTTAGTTCCGCCCATTGTTTTCTCGTTTAGGGCACACGTATTTTTTTACTTTGGGACCATATGCCGCTTATCATGGAATGGCACTTACGTGTCATACGTAAGGTTCCATGATAACTGTCATATGAACACATCTGCGGATGTTTCAAAATTCAAAATTGTACCAGTTCGTGTTAAATGTTGAATTCTGCTTAAGCCGGTGCTAGGGGGCGTGGACGGTAACTTGCACTTTCCATTACCGTCCATGAACAGGCTCAATCAAACCGAGCCTGCAACATTTTCAATTTTGTCGTGCTTGGCTTTCTTTAGGGATTCTGTATTTCTCTATTTTACTGGAGTTTATCCTTCCAGTATTTAGTAACCCCGGGAAACCAGAAACAAAATGACATTGGATGAGGGCCATAACAAGAAGTTTTTTAGTGTGAAAATTGACAAAATCACGTTTTCTATAATAAACTTTAACCTTGCATTGGCCTTTTTAATAATAGAACTTGTCATTGCTTCACTAGAGAGAGACTGATCAAGTGTTGCACCTAGATATTTGACATTAGAAGTTGACTGTATATCAGTCCCTTTACAACTGACATGAAGAGATTAACCTGTTTTTAACTTATGTTTAGAACCAAATAATATTGTCTCTGTTTTGCCTAAGTGAAGGGAAGTTTATTTTCAATTAACCATTGACTGACAGAATGTAGTTCATCTGTCACTTCTTTTTCAATAGGTGACCTATTTTTACCTGCAACAAGAATAGCAGAATCATCTGCATAAAGAAGAAGTTTATTTTTAACAACAGCCTGCATATCATTTAATTAGGCCTACATAAATTAGAAATAATAATGGTCCCAAGATAGACCCTTAGGGAACACCATGCACAAGTAATCCTTTCAAGTGTGGAGAAAGTACCAGATACATCAACAAGTTGTTGCCTATCAGGCAGGTATATGACCTAAACCATTGTAAAACATCAGGCTTCTAAATTCATTAAAAGGATTGAATGGTCCACTGTATCAAATGATTTTTGTAAGACGGCAAGTTCGTATGTTTTCTACAGCTCGGGGTTACGTATAAGACTTAAAATTAGCTTGCATGAAGTTAGCTGCCGGTACCCTGACAAAAGCCTATACAAAGTAGGCTCTGAGTCGACAAGGATGTGTGCTAGGGTGCGTGCGCCCCTAGCACGATAGACGGCTTGAATTGCAGGCCTTTTGCTGGCACCAACAGCACTTTTCAGGACTACCCTTCATATTGCCTCAGGTTACTGTACATTTATATAGGTTCTCATTGACCGCCGTACAGAGACCTTCTTTTGGCTCAAAATTCATATCTTTGGCTAATAGTCCGTGGAATTTGCATGGAGGCAGGGTCTTTCAAATAGAAGTACGTATTTGAAAGACCCTGATGGAGGTAAATTATCACCACTTTGTGTTTCAAAAGAAACTCTTTTAAAAGGGCATGACTCCATGGTGACATGTCCGGAGTCCGTACTCGACATTGAAAGCTGGATTTAGTGCCTGAAAGGACGGATGGACCCTCATTAAGTATTTATAAACTACATGTACATAGGCCTATGTCCGCATCGAATCAATTACGAAACGTACTTAACGTGTACTTTAAAATAGTGGAATGGGCGGGTTTAATAAGGAAGTATTAATGAAGTTGGTACGTTTAGTTCTATCACGAATCTTAATTAAATAAATTCGTGGTTCTATAGATATATAATAATAATGTACATAGTCTGCCTAATATATAACAGTATACATTACTTATCGAATGGGAATATACATGTTAAACTAACCGCATCTGATGAAGATTGAAGCCTGCGCCGCTTTGCCTACTGCGCACAACTCTTCTAAAATTTCGAACGTGATTAAATACGACCTACATATTTAAATCGAAAAAAAAACTACCTGTATCCCCACCGGAGCCTCTTCCAGTGCGATCGTGGCGTTCACATGATGTAAACATTGTACACGCATGCTTACTGCCAAAAATAGAACAAAGAAGGCTCATGAATATTAAACGTTACTATTTTTAGTAACGAAAACAAAGTTTGTCCAATGAAAACGTTCGTAGCAAACATAAACACAACAGTAGCGAATCAAGTTTGCGACCTTGTTTGCCTGAAATCTGACAGATCGGGGAAGAAAAGCGTTCAAGAAAATTTGTTAATATCTGCATAATTATTGCGAAAAAGGACAAAGTTTTACTATAGAACGATTGTAGGACATTGCAGAATCTACATAACAGTAAGTTCATAACTTATTTTTTCGTTTAAAATGCTAAATTTTTGATGCAAAGTTTGTGCTCAACAGCTGATTATTTTGCGTTACGTATTGACCTTCAACCAGCTTGACAACGGGGAAACGTCACTCGCAAAAAAACACTTAGTGTGCGAAAAATAGCCAGATTTACTGTGATTGCATTTGCAGTCATTTCATTTGATATATAAACTTTGGTATATTATAATTTTTATGCAGAATTTCATTCAAAATAATGGTTTTTGGGTGCATCATTTATGTTGGGTGTGTTTCCTGTCAGTTTTGTGCTATTTTTAGCCGTTCAATAAGCAAGAAAAATATCGACCTCGATTTCCTAAAAGATGACTGGCAAAGTTCATTAAATAAAACTGTTGCAACCTGTAAAGATTCAACTAAGTCATTGTTGTGTACAGAAAGACACCAGTAGCCTTAAAACCCTCCTTCCTGTCATGAAAGTCAAACAAATTCACAAGTCAATAATGTAACTGGGGTAGGTCACTTGAAATTGAAGCTTTTTGATCTCATTTACGGATGAATTACAGTACAGTTGCTATGCAAACACTTGTATTGGTTTATCATTATTGAAAAACTTATAAAAGGTATAAAGAATGGTTTGAACGTACATTTTGAAGAATGTCCTCCATCCGGAATCATGAATGTAACCAATTGAGTCTTAGGCTTGGATAGAATCTAGTCAAGAAGACCCAAGAACATGAAAACCTTTACAAAAGCAGTTGCAGGAGTGGGGACAGCAACCCTCAATGATCCAATGTGGTAATATTGTTTATCTTCCAGGATGCGCTAAACTCGGTTTGAACCCGAGGCTTAATAGTAATAGTTAGAAACACCCACTGTGGAAGATAGAACAACATGATATTTATCATAGACAATTGATGTCAACCTAAGCGTAACTGTTAACAGGGTTGACATTATCTTATTAAAGGCGAACATTTTGTTGTAACACTTACAATTGGATATTAGATTTTTTATTTTATTATATCCAGCATATCAATATACTGGAAGGACATCAGTAATATCACCCGGTAATGTTAGCATGACAGCAGGCCAAAAAGTAATTTTGTGACATAACAGACTGTTACCTGTTGATGTCACAGAAGTCTTTCTATACAGAAAATAAATCATGTGAGGAATAACAACGTATTTAAAATTTTTTAAGGACAATCTTAAAGCTGCATGCCTTGACAACTATTTTGGTAATTTATGTGGGTTGTACAGGTAAGTGCCATCAATGCTTATGTGTAAATTTCTGCCTTTTGGTTATTTCACAATATTAAACATTCAAATTTATACATTTTCAAAATTTTCATGAACATTAGCGTGAATCTGGAGGCACCTGAGGTCTAAATCCTCTACCAGTAAAGCTAGAACATCGCCATTTGACTCATATTGTGTCAGTGTTATAAAACCCAATAAAAAACAAACAAAATTATAAACAACCCATACACTGAATCAGAAATATTTTGAATAAAATTACCAAAAAATTAACATAAATTCTGATGAATAAAAGGAGGTAGTATTATAGTATATAATGTCTGGTGTAGAATTTAACTCTTCATTTATTTGTATTCTGATATCAATTACAGTTACAGTATGATTTCTGAAGAAAAAAAAGAGTATCAGGTCATGTCGAAACCCTCATTAGAGTTTCTTTAAAGTGGAGACTGGTTAGAATTAATGTTAATTATGATTTATAAAGAAAAAAGGCTACTAATTCAAAATATGTGTTATTGTAAAACACATAAAAAATATAACGTTTTCTGCCCACAGCAAAAAAAATGACAGTTTTTTACATATAAATTATACCCTTTTTGGTGTGTTATGTAAATCATCTTTTCATATTGTGAACATTTAGGAAATAATTCAAGACTGAGATAAAATTTCTAGCATTTGAATCTTCTGCCTGAGGCAAGACAACACTCTGGCTAGCCATTATTTTTCACTTTTAAATTGATTCTAAAATTAAATGACATACATTCCATAGTGTGATGTCACTTATGAGGTGCCACTGATTAATTCTTATTACTTGTAAAGAATAATATCCCACTTTTCAAACCATAGTTTGCATTCAAAAATAAAATTAAATTATGTTTGATTCAGGTGTACGCATACTTGAATTATGTTCATAAACAGTTTATGCCCTATTGAATATAATATACCTGTAATATGATGTCATTTCTAAATATAGAATTGTTACATCAGCTTAAATAGAATAACTGACAGCTATCTTAAGGGCATTTAAATTTATGTATGCTATTTTAAGTATTTCATGACAATTTAACAACATTGTGAAAACTTTTTACCCTGCAATTAACACAGTCCTGACCTTTGGCCTTAAGGACTTCTGTTTGTTTCGAACTTTTCTAGTTGTTCCTAAGGGTGTATAATGTTGCACAACATTTGAAAATTATTGGGTTTATAGACCAATTGAAATCATCAGGGTGTTACATCATGTTGTTTACACTAGAGGATACCACCTGTACGAAAATTCTGAGCCAATTCTGTACAGACTCTGTACCAACTCTGGTTGTTATAGAGGCAGATTTTCATTTTTCTGTACAGAGTTGACACCGACACAGAATTGGACACAGAATCTGCCTAAGAAATAGGTGATTTTCTGTGCAGAATAAAACAGAATCAAAAATTTTTCTGTACAGAAAAATTTTCACACAGATATTTTGCTCTTAGTTATTTTTACAAGACAGAATTTCAATACTTTGAAAAAAAATTGAGGCAGAATTTACATAGACACACAGAATTTTAACACTTAGATAAATCTTGAGACAGAATTTACTTTTCTAGCCAGAAGTTCACTCTGAGTTAATCTCAGAGTAGTAGATAGATATTCTGTAATATCAGGTGTAACCCCCATGTAACCCCTGTTGGTCAATTCAAATCTCTCAGACTGCCACACGAGGTTTTATTTCACAAAGTGTCTTCACATAAAATGGCAAAGATTAAAACATTAGCAAAGATGAATATGTTTTGTTTAGTTTATTTTTCTAATGATAAGTAAACAAGTTAGTTGTTGTGAAGAGCAATCATGTAGAGACTTGAAATTCTCAAATTTAGGGGCCAAAGAGGAATTATTATGGAATTATAATCAAAACCAGAGGTAAGATTTTGCAATGTTTTCTTTGAATTTTTCTTTAAATTATTTGGTTATACCTTCCACTATAGATAAAAGAAATTATTTATACATCTTTTAATAGTCTATGAATTATCTATATTAGTTAAATTTACTCTGATTTGAGACAGACCACTATGGTCTAATGAGTATAATATTAATGCACTGAGGTCAAAGCTGGGCCAGTGAAATTATTAGTTCATAAATTGCTTTTTGATCAGGATATAGCTCAAGATCTTTTTTTTTTAATTTCTTGCTCTATTATGCAATAACTAGTTTAGCTTTTGGTTTTGCTATTCTATAATTCAATTCATTTAGTTTAAATTAATCAATTGAAAGCTCCCAGAAATTGTGTAGAATTTATGACCAGCAACTGTTGCTATGGTCAGTGCTTATCAGCAATTCTATTTTTAGAATATTGGCCACTTGTAAATCTCTCCTATTTTAAGTTATGTTGCAAATTACATAACTGTGTAGATTTGTAACACAAGCTTTGGTCAGGGATGATATATGTAAACAGTTTTATTAGTCAGTGACTTTGATGTTACTTGGTGCAAAAAAACTTAAGGTATATAGGTATACAATTTTAACTGTTTTATATATACATTGAAATATTTTACAAATTTTGCATATCATTTAATAATAGAATGAACATAATTCAAATTCCTTTTTTTTTACTCTAGATTATGTCAGGATGTGTGTGTGGTGCAAAGACAGAGACAAGCCAATTCCTGATGACAGCGCCCTCAACAAGGCTATTACTCATTGGATAGACTACTCCAGGAAAGAAATGAATAAAAATTGTTAATTGAAATTAATAAATAAGAAATGTTCAAAAGGAAAATTGATTTTGTTTTTAGCCAAAAAAACGAAAATCTGTACAGAATATTTTCTGTACAGAATTTTTCTGTGCAGAATTCCCTTTCAGATATTTCCTATGGACAGGGTTAATTCTGTACAGAATATGAAGAAGCCCAGATTTTTTTCTGCCCAGATTTTTTTTCTGCCCAGATTTTTTTTTTCTGCCCAGATTTTTTTCTGCCCAGAAAATAATCGGCTTAATTTAAATATTTCAGAAAAAATCTGTACAGATTTCGTTCTTTATCCTTATTGCTAAAATCTATTAATAGAATTCTGGTTCAACTTTGTTTCATTTGACCAGATTTTTTTCTGTACAGACTCTGTACAGAGTTTTCTAAATAAAGTCTGTACAGATTCTGTCTGCATTCTGCCCAGACTTTTTCGTACAGGCTGGGTAATAAAAAAACCTGTCACTTACTTAATATTGTGCAATTTGAATGCCCAGTCAAGTTTAAGTTAACAATTTTACATATTACCATTTTGTTAAGAGATTATATTCTCATTAAGAAGGAAATTAATACAGATTACTGCAGGTAAACAGATTAGATAAAGTGGTATAATTGCACATTCAAAACAAATTAATGCTTTGATATTTAGATGTTATATAAAATTGTATTTATAAGGGCTCTGCTCTTTATTATATAAACAAATCAGTGAAGTAAGTAAATAATGATTTAAGAGAATTAATTTCTTTTGAATTATACAGTAATAATGGTTCATATTTTTAAATGGTTATTATTTTGATTTAAAGGTTAAAGTCTTGTGTTGTTGATATTGAAATAAGTTAGTAAAATTGTAAAAACCCTGTTTATTATTATTTAATTAACTTTGCTATGCTATTATTAGCTTGACTAATCTATGCAAAGATTAAAGAGCTCACACAGAACTCATGATGTTGGTATCACTGACTTTAATTAAGTTTTTAGGTGCCAGTTGGTATCTTAAAAAATTCTGAAGGGAATGGGTTGATATTTCATATACACTCTTATGAGTGCATAATAGGAGAGGTCACTGTATTCCAAGGCCCATAACTCTTAACTTTGATTTGGTCAGTATTATTGGCCCTTTTTTGAACATAGAAAATTCAACATTGTCATGGCCTCTTGTTTTACTATCAAGCAAGCACACTGTACTACCTATAGCTCTTGTTACAGAAAGTTATCAACTTTTTTCTTTAGATCACTCAATACTAAAAAGACTAAATTCACATGACTGCTTTGTTTATAATATACATGTAGACATGTATATAATATTACATACAAGTGATACTTACAGGACTGGTGTGAGAGGCTCTGTATCAGACTATGTTTATAGCTTTATGTGTACTTAATTTATACATACTTGATTATTTGTACTGGAATTTTATAATTGACTAAAAGCACAGTCCCTCCCCCTTCTATCCCATAGCTAAAAATTACCTATCGTGGAGTACACCCTCATTTGTACTACATAATCACAAGTTCTGTCAAAATAATGTTGACCCTTTAAGATTTAAATTCCTTTAAGTTAATAAGACTTTTCCTAAATTATGTATAATTTATGATAAGTTTTAAGGTAATAAGGAAAAATTTATTGTTATACACAATTTTCTTATTAATTTATTGATATACAATTATCATCATATTTATGATATCATTATTTCATATACATCAGATTTTTGCTAAAGATGCAATTATTACCTCTTAATTTGTATATAAAATGGTTAATTTACAAACCAAATTACTTTTTGCACAAATATCTTGGTAAAATATCTAATTAAGGCATACCTACATGTACATGTATAATAGTTAAAATTTAGGTTGACAAAAAAATATTATCATTGACAGGTGGTATCATGTTATAAACACATGTACAGACAGATGTTATCAGTTTGTCGGAATGTCCCCTTTGTGTCCCCTTAAACTCCTTTATACTCCTTTGTGCATTGAATTAGGGGCCCTGATATTGTTTTCCAATATCCAATATTTCTATGGCAACTGTTTATAATGTGAGAAAATCAATATTTTTGTTGTTGTTTACATTGTGTCCATCATATTTATTCTATTATATAAGGATAATTTTATAGCTATTATATTTCATTATTTAATATCTTCGAATCAGGAAACATTCTACAACTTTTAAGTAGGTTTAATTTGTTTTAAGATTTATAGTTTAAGTTGGAAATGATAAAATTTGACTCAAGTGGTAAGAAATTATACATATTTCAATTGTTTGTTTAGATAAGAGAATTCGTTATGTCTATATATATATACTTGCAAATTGTTGAATAACTATGTATAAGTTGTGCAATTATATAATTGTTAGATTTATTGTTAGATTTCTATGTTATTGCTTACTATTGAATCTGTTATTTTAACTTTGTCAATTACATAATTATTCTGCTGTTAGTTTTGAAAGAATTCTTTGCTTATAATTATCATTATTTCCTTTAGTAATGTATTTAGATAGTGATCATTAGCTTATAAAGTCTTGTAAATATCATAAATTTTAAATTTTGTTTTTCATGGTATTTTTAAATTGACCATCCTTTTTACAAGTAAGTTTAGAAATTATATAAAAAACATCAAATTTTACTTCAAAGGCATAAAGATGTTTTTTTAATTAATATTATTATTACCATTAAGTATAATGAACTATTACATGTAATTATGTTCAAAGCATTAATTAATGATATTAACAGTGTGAACAAGCCACTGATTCTTGCCCATACAATCAAACTCAATAGGCCAAGATCAGCTGGCATGATCCACACAGTCTGATCATGGCTTAATTAATTCAGTCAAAAATATGCATGCATAATTTTAAGATTGAATTGAGATAGGACAATTAACTGGCGATCATGGATTTTTGGGTTAATTCAGTATAATGCCAGTATATTTAAGAGAGCCATGGTTAATTTGATCAATTTAGCCATGGAGTATAAAGTAGATAAATTATGAGAGTTGGCAGGGAAAAGAAAAAATAATGCCTTCAGGATTTCTGTTTTCAGTCAAATCGCTCTGTGTTAATTGTATGGTAAATGATTTTGTAAAAATGTGTTAAGTATATGGTAAATGATTTTGTAAAGCAAGCTTAAGTTAATTAGTCATAAATTGAACAAATTAGACCTGGCTAATTATTAGAGGACCTAAATTCATCTTGTTGAACAATTAAACAATTGTTATATGTACATGTTAAAGATGAATAAGATGGAAAAAAAAAAGAAATAATATATTATCATTGTTTTAATCTACCATGTATTCTCCAATAAATGAGTTGCACCTTCAACATTAAGAGGGAGGGTGGGGGTGATAGTTAAAGAAGGAAGAAAAATTGTAAAAGAAAAAGTAAAAAAAAAAATCTTGTTTGCTTTTTTCCCCCATCAGATTATACCTACTGGAACATCAAAATTTTTTAATGTGCTAAAATTTGTATTTTGTGTTATAAACCGCTATAATGTCTTGGTAACTCCTTTAATGTTAAAAAAAGGTGAGGGGATTGTGTTTATTAACAGGTAGGGCATTTATTATAGAGTAAATGGTACATAAATTATGATCTTAAACAATTAGAAAGCAAAGTTAATTAACTCTTACTGCACTTCAGTATTATCATAAATTGACTTTTCAGTATATCATAATTGCCCATTTACAATCTTGACAAAACAATCAAGGATTTAAATTTTAAGAAATCCTGGCTGAATAGCAAACAGTGCAAACCATGATCAGATGGCACAAATTAGCTGTGCTTTTTTTTTTTTAATTGTAAATTTACAATGATCAATACGGTTGTGAAGAATAGAATAATTCAAGTTTAAGGGTTATATAATTATTTAAAGATTTTACATTGTCAGTTTAATATTGCAAGAAATATTTCTAAAATAGTTACACAAATTTATGTAAGGTAGGCTAAAGTTTATTGGTACGTATTTACAAAATTAAATTGGTCAGGTGCAACCAATTTAATTTTGTAAATATCTACTTATAAATATTAACCAGCTTACTGTTTTAAATTATTGTTATAGACAGTCTTTTTACTTAAAATCTGCAGCACAATTCAAGAAAATGTGTTACATTATCTATTTGAAATACATTGTACTTCAATCCTAGCTATTATATATAATTGGACAAAGAATAATTTCAAACACTAAAGTATATTATTAGATTATAAATAGCATTAACACATGATGTCAACACAGTATTTGAATAAGTGATTATATAAAGGTGTTTGTATGGTTCACATTATGATCATTAGGTCAAGTAAGGTGAATATTTAAGTCTTTTACATAATATAAACAAATGACCTGAAATGACCCCCAAGGACTATATATAAATGTTATTTTCTCCAGCCACTGTTTGGCCACTGATTGAATGATCTGAAATGACCCCCATGGTATAAATGTTATTTACTCCGGCCACTGGCCTCAGATAGCCACTGCTTATCTCTGACCAATTTGTTACAGTATTTAGTGATCTATGGGTCAGCTATAATATGATATGTATGTTATATATTATAACCCACAATCTATATGTCTAATTCTTTATGCACAATTAGTGAAACTTTGTGATCAGGAAAGTCGTGTAAGTTTATTTATTTTTGATACTAATGAAAAGTTTGCCATCGTATGTGCATGATTTTCACAAAAAGTAGACTTATTTGTGTAAATATTGATTGAAAGTACTATATAGGTATTAATGAATGTCAAAAAAGATAATTTTGTATGAAATTTGCATACCCGGCAGGTGAACATTTAAAGACTGTTGAAAGAATTTTTTAGTTTATTTGAAAAACAAATAATGAAACAAGGAATTAGGATTCAGACTTAGAGATACCGGTATTGATTTTATGCAATGATAGCACTATTGCACCTGTTTTCATGTATTTAATCAAGCCCCTGAACTTATTTAATAACTCGCCCTTAGTATAATGCTGTATGTATGGGCTGTCAGAAATACTCATTTAGTCACTTTAATAAAGAAAGTGGCTTTATAAATGTATCATAATTAAACAGCATGGGTTTTTGCATCAGGACAGATCAACACCAACTTAAAATACATGTAATTATATAAATTTGGTACTTAAATTACATTTTTGCTTATTTATGTAATTTCAGGAAAGATGTTGAGCTGGGCCAGTTATCTGTTCGGTTCATCCACCACTGAGCCACAACAACATGAACAGCCATCTGAACCAGCCAAGCCGGTTGCCATGGAGACAGAAGCTTCCAGTGACAAAGATTGGGTCGTAGTCGAGCATAAAGGTACGTTTGACCTTTAACCTGCATCATGCTGTTACACTTAGTGACTTACACCATGTAGATATGTGCATGATATTTATTTTGTACTTACTTTATGTACTTGAAACCAAATGCAAGGTCATTGTAGTACCTCTAACCATGCTAAATACCAAATAATTGGACTTGTCCATCTTTCAATCTGGACCAATCCATTCATTATTTTAGGGAAAATTAAAAAAACTAAAATTGGCTGACTGAATAGCTAACAGTGTAGACCATAATCATACAGCTGCAGTTGCATGTGCCCTACTATGATCTTCAGGTATGCACTGGTAAAATGCCACCATCAGGTATATTTGAAGATCAATACTAAGGGCAAATTTTTATCACTGTGAGTACCCTATAATGTTACAATTTGACTATGATATGCCAACATACAATTCTGAAAAGAAATTGATTGTAACCCTTAGACTGCTGGTGGCAATGTGACCAGGTCAGATCAAGATATGCCATCTATGCCTGTTTGCACTGTTCACTATTCAGTTAGTACATAATATTTAAATTTCCCTAAAAATGTTAAATGGTGAGATCTATAGTTTTGAAAAAGGGTAATTATAAAGTTTATGCTTGTTATTAAGTGTTGATCTGAATTTGTCAATTTGACTATAATACATATTAAAGCAGCATGCCTCCAGATTCATGCTTTTTTCATGAAATTTGTTTAAATGTAACAAAAAGTAAAATTTTGTCAAGTGAACAAACAAAGTAATTTACAAATTGTAAACTGCTGCCTTAAAATCTTCCAAAAAAGGTCAGAACATGTAAAATAAAAACTTCACTGCATTAGTCACACAATAGAAATATGGTGAATCATATACTGCAAAATCAGTCTTTAATTGCATTTACAACAAGTATATTCATTGCGAATATTTTTTACATTTTAAAAATCTCAGTTTTTTCAATATTGACCTTTTAAAAATATTTTGGTTCATCTGGAGGCATGCTGTTTTAGGGCTTCATATCACCAGCAATCCTTGATTGGCTTAAACCCTTTAAACCTGCTGAATTTCTGAAATGGACTTGTCCAGCTCCCATTTTCGGAACTTCCCATTTACAACTTTGGGGATTTCAATCAAGATGAAAATTTGAAACCAGCAGTATAAAGAGTCTTGTCAGATTGCTGAATGTGCAGTGCAGGCCAATATGGCTCTGTACTCAGATGGCAGACCAACTACATGTACATTCTTAGGTTCCAGCACTGGTAAGGGTTACAAGACCCAACAAATCCTCACCTTAGTGCAATAACAGGTTAACTCCTTATATAATTCAATAGGACTTAACCTGTTACTGCACTAAGTTGACGAAATGTTCCATAACTTTCAGCACATTTAAGAAACCGACATTTAAAAACAGTGTAACTATTGTCAGTTCAATAGTACTGTTATCTGGTAAAGATATTGAATAATTGTCTTAAGTTAAAATACTGAATTTGACCCCGTAATGGACAAAAAATATAGTTTAAACCATAGCATATTGATCTTTTGTGTTTTAGCTTAGGTGCATGTTAAGAATATAATTTTCAGGCACTGGGTAGTAGAGGTCAAGGTAGTCACTATGGTAACGGTAGTCAGTCCTCTTAAACTCCACCTTGTAGTAGTACTTGTATACATGTTTATATTGTAAATATCATACTCTTTTTTTTTTTAATTCTCAAACAAAATATTTGTTGTCTGAAAAACAAAATTTATTTATGCATGTCTTTCTTAATGTTCTGTGGAAATGTGTAACCAAAAAATTGTATTTTGCTTTAATTTTGTTTTTAATAATATGAATTTTGAAATTTTCTTTTTTCAAATTTCTAGAATATAATAAATTCTTTAAAATATTTTATCATTCTGGATAATAGATTTCCTATTTTGTACTTTTTTTCAAACTATTTAGTTTGAAATATTCTAATTTTTATGGAGGGAGAGTGACTAAAGTAGTCATTATTCTCTTACAGACTGTTGCTTTGGTAACCAGCCAGCCAGTCACCGAAGCCATGTGACCTGTTACTCTGGCAACTGTTACCCTGGTGACTCCACTGACTCCGCTAGCTCAATGAGTGACTCATCAAATAATATAAGTCCTTGCAAGAGTGAATCTTCTAGTCCTTCCAAGTTATCTACCCCAAACTCATTGAGTCCCGTTTCACATTCTCGTCATTTATTTGTTCGTACTCGTCATGGGCGCTCAAACGAGGCCTGGATTCTAACGCCTCCTTCATGTTTTACTGCAGGAAACGGCCAAGCTCCGGAAGTCGGAATCTCTGACCTAGAAAATCTGTTGATTGAACATCCAAGCATGTCTGTGTATAAACGATCTGGCAGTGCAGGAGAGGAAAGCAACGCTTCAGACGAGTCTTCTAATGAACTTGTCACAAAATCAAAAAGATCTCAAGCCATGAACCGACCTTCACCAAAACGCATGCGTGCAGTGTCGGCTCGGGCTGAGCTTTTAGCTCAAGTCTCTCAGGTAAAGCATGCTCAAAAGGTGCAGCAGAAACTCTCAACGAAACGCAATAACAAGAGAAATCTTGACCGAAGCAACAAAGTTGCCAGTTGTGATAAGCACGTGACCCGCAAAAACCGAGTCAAGAACCCATCAGGCCAGATGAACGGACGTATTCCACAGAGGAAGCAGTAATAAACGTGTACATTTATATGCTAGGTTATCAAATTTCTGCCACATAATACACAAAGATTGATATTGTTTTCAAATAGCATAGACTTTTAATATTCAAAAAGATTTAAGGAGTATTTTTTCCCTCTTTAAGTATTGACTTTTAAGATTTGTTGTAATTCTTTTTATCTTAATTGTTAATGATCTTACATGTTCGTCACATAATTTTCTGAATTCAAAGAAAATTTACAAAAAAAATGTATAAAATTTAAAACTGTAAAAAAAAATCAAAACAAAAAAGACTGTTTCTGTTTACAACAGTCTTACAAAAAAAGTAACCATAGATCTGTTGATAGTTTTTTTCTTCTGATATTTATTCTTTATCATTATTGCTGAATTATTCACATGTTGTTACTTCCACAGGAAACATTTTTTTCCCTTGTAAATTTCTGAATAAATTCACTTACTTCTGATACTTCATGTATTAAAATTTTTGTTGGTTAACTATGACCATCTATTGATTATCCAATTGTATCCTAATGAACGCTCCACTACCTTTGGTTTACTGAAAAGTTACACAGGGACTTTAAAATTTAAGAGTTGATTTGAATGACATTGTAATCATTGGCAAATTGGGTCAAGGTCATAATTTTAACATTTGTCAAAGTGACACTAGGAATTGCCATCAGTGTTTAAGTGATAAAATTTAATATATTCTTCTTAAATCATAGCATCTATATATTAGGGAGTTAAAAATCAAACAGCTTAAATGAGATAGTAAGCTTTGGGAAATTGGGTCAAGGTCATTGAAGCTCTACTTAGTTTAAAGGTCATAATTTTAACATTTGTCAAAGAGACACTTGGATCCAATCAGTGTTTAACTGATACTCTTTTTAATCAATTAGCATCTATAGACAGATACATGTGTTATCAGCTATTAGATAATTAACTGTGACATAGAAAAATGAAACTGACTGTTAGATAAAAAAAATGAAACAGACCATGACATAAAAAATGAAACTGACTATAAATCTGTACATGTAAATTGTGAGTATAGCAATTCCAGACTAACACACTCTTAAATTAACCATGGTGCCATAGTATATTTACATAATATATTGTAATTTATATATATATCATTTACCAGCATTTATTATATAATTTGATTAATCCTAGCCATACTTATTTCCTCCTGCAGCTTTTCTTTTAATCAATTTTTTTTAAGCAATCAAATGATACTTTTTTACATTTTACAAATCAAATATTACTATAAGTTACAATGATCCATTCATTTGATGTGTTAGGGTGTTTATATTTAGTTATCATTATGAGGACATAGGCTTATAATGTGAGGACTTAGACTAATTATGAGGACTTAGTATAATTTAAGTACATTTTTGTACTTGTAGGAAATAAGTATGGTTTTTAATGCAAGTAAAAATGTTGTATGGTTGCTAATTAAATACTCAATTATTAGAGAAGATTATGAGATAATTATAAAATAACATCCAGTAATTAATAATCATGATTCATGATATGTCTGTCGATGTATGAATATGTTACTATTTTTGTCAAATACAAATTTCTGTGGTCAAGATATGGAGAACATTATTCTTAACTGCCCCGCTTGATTAAATTTTTACAATGAGTAGTTTGATTTTCTCAGGAAAAATTGATTTTAAATAGAATTGAATAATTCTTTAATCAAACACAGTCCAACAAAATAACATTATAATCTTAAGAGAACACTGGAAAACTTTATTAAATTGTTGCGTAAAAGTAAGGTAAATTCTGTGCATGTTTTAAGTAAGGGAAATGTTATTTTTTTAATTAGCATATTTCTCAGGTGAATAAATTCTGTACAGATATATTTTGACATCATTCAATTGCCATTTTAGATCTCTTTTCCTTTATTAAGATCATATAAATACTGCCTTCTGATTTACTAGTCCAGTATATTTTGGAAGATTATTAAATCCAACTGCCTGCCGGATTTTGTCTGCTTAAAGGTGCTTCATTCGAATATTGATACCTTATGTTTTAATTGACCAACATCCCTATCATGCTTCATTATAGAAGCTTAAATGGACTTAATTACCCATCTTTCAATTTGGACAAAACCATTGATCATTTTAGGGGAAATTTTCAAAATCAGTTCTAACTTGAAAGCAAACAGTGCAAACCATGACCAAACAGCAACAAGGTCCCAGCTGATCTTGGTATGCACTTGTCACATGTGTAATTTCTATTGCCATCAAGAAAATGATGAACAATTATTAAATGTTTATAAGTGACTAAGTTGAATAAAGTCAGAACACAATAATATATACATGTACTCAGCTTATTTTGACAGGAAATTATATATATATTTTTGCATTGTTAAAAAGATTGACACAATCTCAGGTTTTAGGTGTTGTATTGTCAATGCTTCTCTTAAAAGTAAAAAAAATATTACTGAGAATGTATCATTATATATATCATATAAAATTCATCACCCTATATGCTAATTTGTACTACCACAGGCATTTGTTAGTTAAATGATATCATCACCTTACTGCATTAATGCATTAACTCCTGTTAAAATTTATAAACAGCTAACCCATTACTGCACTAAGCTAGCAAATTTGTTATTCTGTACATAATTATATAGAACTTGAGCATTTTGTATGCATGTACATAGTAACTAAGTACTATACATGCATTTGTTGTCACATTAAGACTGCCCTGCATAATTAGGCTATGTAGATTTTGCATTCAGATCATGAAAATATTAAAAAAGCGCAATAAAGAAATTTTTCAATGTATTGTTAAATATCACCATTTGATTGTTTATGAAATGTTCCTAATGAATTTGAAACTAAAATTCTGGTGAAAATTAAGGGTGAACATTTGAAGTCAGTTTATTTGTCTTCATTATTTGTTATTGTCAACGTTTATTGTTACAGGAAAAACTTCACCTGGCTTTTGAACATTTTGTTAAGTTTATATTCATAAAGCTTTTAAAGGAATTTGAATGTTAAGGTATATGCATAACAATTGAAGATCTTCCTGGTATATTAACTGGTTAATTTAAAGCTAATAGTGGGCAAAGTTTTTGTGCTGGTTTAAGATTGCATTATTGTACAAATCCTTTGTCTATCTATAAATTGCTTACATTGATCAGTTCATGTATACCAGTTAATGAATATCAATCAATATTGTACATTTGCTAAATTGTATGGTGTACCAGAAGGGACATTTTAGACAATTGAGTTAAACTGCTGGTAATAAAATGTGTTAAAGTGACATTTTGCTCATTTTTTTCTTTTGATGTCAAGCTGAATTGAATAAGTAATATATTTCAAGAGATTGACTTTTTTGATGGTGATTGACCAATAATTGATTAATAAATATAATAAACTACCTAAGTTATAAAAAAAGACTGCCCTACTCTTTCTAAAGAATTGAACTTTGCTGAAACATTTCGAATGATATTCATAGAAATGTCACATATTTAAATAATCATTTACAGAAATGTCCATGGTTCATTTGAATTATTGATTATTTTGACTTAGTAAAAGATAAAATTGAACACATTTATGACAAAATGTTAAGTTATTTTGACTTTTACCTGTGCACTCACCATTTACATTTTGATGGGCATTAAGTGTCTCTTCTTAGATATGGAATGTTGGAAGTTATGTAATTATGGGTTATTACTATTATATAAATTGATGGAGACTTGAGAGAGAAGAGTTTAATTTGGTACCTGATTAACAATGCTAGTTAGTTTTAACACAGTGTTTACAAAAGTACTTTGATATTTTTTTTTAAAATAATGTGGTATAGCGTTTTGCACAGTGAGTTATTAACTGTCATATCTTAGCCATTTTCAGTGCATTACAAATAGTTTGTAAATACTGTAAATAAATGATTCCATGCAAAGTATGAAATGTTTAAAAATTGTATTTTTTTTCCTAAGTGTAAAATGTTACTTATAAATGAGAGGCTGAACTTGACTATATGGACATACTGTTTACTTGTTAATGAAGTGTTTAATTGCCAATATTTGGTGCTTTAACAGAAATTTATTTAATCAAACATAGGCATAATCCATTATATAAAAGGTTATACGAAGTTTCTTGTATATAAATATTTGATTCAAGGTACATGTACTCATGTAAAAGTATAGAGAGAGTGATTTTATCTTTATCTCTTGTAAAATTATAGGAAATATTTACCAAATAATTAGTTCTATATACAGGAATGAAAGACCAACTTTATAATTGTGTCAAACAGTGTGTAATAAAATATGCTGAAGATAAATGCCTAACAATAAGTATTAATGGTTACTAATTGTTGCATACTATTATACAAGTATTTAAGTACATGTACATTTATTATTATTGGTAGATTGGTTAACTTGTTTTGTACTGCCAGTTATAACGGCTTTTATATGTTTCTGTGTATTGGCTTTTTCAAATTTGAATTTTGATATTGAAATCCCTAAATGAACAATGGGTAGCTCCAAACTTAAAAGCAGGAAGAGTTCATTGTTTAAAATCTGCATAGGGGGAGGGGGGCGTGAGGATATACATATACATTTATAAGCGCTTGATTTAATAAAATAAAGCATTAAAGAGCGTAGTTAACACCTGCTTTTAAGTGCTTATGTAATGATATTACATGTAATAGTAGTAATGTTATACAATATCTATGTTATTGAATGAGTGAATGAGGCAATATTGGCAATAGCTTATAATATATTATTATTATGTTAATTGTTGAAAAAAAAACGTTTTTATAAAATTGTTATGCTTAATGCTTTTTGGCTAAGTCAGATGCGAGGGTGCAATATGATGAAGATCTTTGTTAAAAATGATTGAAACCAAAGTGAGAATAATGTTACCTGTTGTTTAATTAAGTAATTAATGTTATTTATGGAATATAACGAAGTTATTTTAAGAATAGCGTTGAACGGATATAGGTTTTTTTAAACTTTAAACTTTATTTCAAATGGTCATAATTTAAACAATAAAAAGACAAAAATTTTGAAAATTGATTTGAGTTAAAGGGACTCCACTGAGGTTTAAAATTCTAAAAACATAACATTTGAATTTCTTACATAAATGAGCTGGGGCACTTTAAACAGTACTATATGCAAAGATAGTTAAGAAATATACTTTGAAATAAGTTGAAAATCGTATTTTTATGCTTTTCTTAGCCTAATTTGAGTAAAAAGCGTTTAAATGCTTTTCTGTTTGGGTCAGTTTTTTACAATTAGAATAATTATTCTGGAAAAACTGTGTGCGCGAATGATCTGAAATTTTGCACAAAGATTCGTGGTCTTAACCTACATCAAATGGTACAATTATCTGAAAATTTTTTCAGTCCCATCAAGTCAAAAAACCTCAGTGGAGTCCCTTTAATAAGTGAGAATTTATAAGGTGGGTAAAGATAATCTGGGTGACATTCTCTTGTTGCTTTTGTTTCTTTTTTTTTTCTCTTCTGAAATAGTGTCATTGGAAACGTGTTAATATGATCATGATTGTTTTTTAGTATTTATTTGATTGAGGTAGTAATTAATTAGGTCTATGAAATGTGTATATGTGTCCCGTTGTTGTGCAGTGAAAATATAACATGAAATTTGATAATGAATTATGTTCTTTGTTTATTGGCTAACTGTAATATATTACAGAGTGGACTAATGTTATATTGTTAATATATACAGTTTTTTGACGTAAGTTGATATATTATTATGATAATGGTTAAAGTGTTGTATTTAGTTTGCATGTGTACAATATTCTTTCTCTTTTTTTGTTAGAAAATTCACATTTAATGCTATATAATCTGTATATATAACATAATGTGAAACAAAAAATAAACAGTCCTATGCAGAATCAGTAAATTATTGTTATTCTATAAAGCCATGTAATGTTTTGTTTCCAATCGTTTCTTCTCGGCCCTTTCCGTCAAACTCCGACATAAAGATTCAGTTAGTGAGCAGTTACTAAGGGTTACTGTCCCAAACGACATCTGGTTTCAATATTGTTTTACTCTCCTGATTTAGAAATAAAGAGATGATTCAAAATTCCACTTGAGCACCCATGTGACATTGTGAAAGCACGCCACTGATTGGCTGTTTGAAAGGTCACGAGAAGGTGACCTATTTGTGGCCGTCAGATCCTAATGCAAAGCTTTAATTAGAGGCTGATTTTAATCAGATGGAGGTACAAGTTTGCATTTTGAAAACAGATAAAAAAAACAACAGAAAAGCAACATTGCTTTCTAATTAGAGAAATCCCTGACAAAAAAGGCTGTCTGACATTATGCTAAAACACTACACTGACAAAGGGGTTGATAATAATGGTTATTTTGTATGGCAATACTGACAATAAGCTTACAATATGGAAATGTAGCGATTTTTGCAATATAAATAAAATTCTTGAAATACGCTTGTACTATTTCCAAATTTATATCAGCAGCTGCATTTAAATTGTGCAACCTGGCACACAGTGTCAGAAAGAGCTATTAGGTTCACTCTTATCATCAACACATCGAGGGGGAGTCCGTGGCCGATTGGTTTAGGTCGTTGACTTCACCGCTGTGGGTTCGAATCCCGACAGGGACTTGGGATTCTTTCATATGAGGAAGCTATCCAGCTAGCTTACCGAACGGCGGTGGTTCTACTCAGGTGCCCGTTCGTGCCTGAAGTAATGCACGGAAGGGCACTTGAGGTCTTCCTCCACCAGTAAAGATGGATCGTCACCATATGACCTATCGGTGCGACGTGAAACCCAATCAAAAAAACATCAGCAACAAAAAAACAGTCAACACATCGTATCACACTTTTTTCATTACACTGGGTTGAGGTTGATACAACTTGGCAAAGATGTGTCTTTTGCACACAAAAATGGCTGGCATTGCAACCAAAAGCAAAATTTTGTAACTACTCATGTCTAGACAGCTTTGATATTTGGATTAAATAGTATTTAGCTATGGTGGCTGATTTGTGCCATTCGTGTTTTCGCTCCGCGACACCGCCAAGCGAAAAGTCGAAAATTATCAAGTTCAAATGGCGGGGGCGCGCAGCGAAAACACGCTTATTAGCGAGGGCGCGGGCCGAAGTTTAAAAAAAAAATTAACCCTGCGGGGCCGCGGAGCGAGATTTAAGAAATAAAACGGTGGGGTCGCGGGACGAAAACACGCTTAAGCTAAGATATTTAGCATGAAACATCTTCTAATGGGTGTCTACCAAGTTTGTTCAAATAAGGACCCCTGGGGTTAAGATTGGTCTCGCACCGGAGGTAAATGATTTTCCTGATATGTGTATAGTAAAAACTTATAAAAAATATTTTAAAAGAGCTAGAGTTTAGATACTAAGCATGAGATATCTTTTAATGAGTGTCTTAAATAAAAGCCTGGCCGGACAAAATTGGCGCCGCCTCTGGGGGTCATTGTTTTTTCCAATATGTGTTTAGTAAAAACTTAAAAAATCTTCTTTTAAAAACCCCAAAGAGCTAGAGCATGAAATATCTTCTAAAGGGTGTTTACCAAGTTTGTTCAAATAAAAGTCCTTGGGTTATAATTGTCATCACCCCAGTGGCCTATATACAGGTGAGCGACTTCACGTCCATCATGGCCCTCTTGTTTATTTTTTAGATTCAATCCGCTTATTCAATCTAGCTTGAAAAAATCAGAATTTGCCGGTGTATGACCTTGGACCTTCTTCAGCAAAGCAGATTGCAATACTTGTATGTCTCAAGGTCGCCCACCTTGAGACATATTGCAATCTGCTTTGCTGATCTATGGCCATCGTGGTTCTCTTGTCCATGTCCCTATGGACTGCTGTATCAGCTACAGATGGTCTGCTGGTACATTTAATTGCCCATTAAAGCTTTAATAATTAAAATCAAAACAATACATAACCCAGTAAATGGAGGATTCAAACAGTCTAGAACATGGCCTGTTCTGTGGGAATGGTCTTATTTTTAACTTTCTTTAGTGGTTGTTTAAAACTGGTATAAATATAGCATCTTTAGATGATCAGCGTTAAATTTGTTGTTATACGTTTCTCTTTTGTAGCCTCTTCGCATAAGCCGTTTACAAAAATATTCAAAACACTGATTTTAGCCGTAATTACTAACTTAGAAACTTTACGGAAATATAAGCTCATTAAAGGAACTCCACTTGCGTTCAAAATCCCAACAATCCACGAATTTCTAATTTCTTACATAGTTCAGCTGGTGTACTTAAAACAAAAACATATGCAAAGGATAGTTATAAATAAGAAATATAGTCCGAAATAAATTGAAACTTTTGCGCCGTTCTAAGCCCGATTCGATTAAAAAGCGTTGCAACGCTTTTCAACTTTGGGTCATTTTTCATATTAGAACAGATATTCTTCAAAACGGAATGAGCAAACGGTCTGAAATATTGCCGATACTGGCCTAAATCTACATCAAATGGAAAATTGATCTTGAAATAATTAATTAATAATTAATCTTTGCAATAAATGTTAAAGTTTCAAGAAATTTTCAAAGTAGGTGCATATTTTCAATCGGTCCCAAGTTATGAAATTTGTAATAAAGTGACATTCAGCTATTTCAATTATAGTTCAAATCACTGACTCGGGGCCATGTACTAAATTTGCACATGTCAGCCTGTCTGATGACCTCAACTGTACGCAGTTTCATACCTATTGCACGCAATTGCCTGATAACTAAATAATTGCCTGAAGGTCACCAACAAATGTTTTCAGTTAATGCACAGCAAAGTACCTAAATTTAAATAATATTACTAAAGAACTGTGTTTATAAAGTTCCTCTTAAAATTCTTGCATATGCGCAAGATCATAGCTAAACTAATTAATAAGAAAATATTTTATTTGGGAATTAAATTTTATTGTTTTTATTGTATAATGCATTTTTGTTGTTGCTAAAACTCCTTCCAGATAGATCAACACAATGATTGAGTTCCACTACTTTTGACCATTTTATTATATAACTCTTAGTCACAACGTTACATGTGGACATTATCTAAAAGCTGCATGTCTCCAGATGAACCGAATAATTTAAAGAAAAAGAAACTTGAGACAAATGTACTAAGATTTTAAGAAAAGTAAAATGAGTCACGGAATAATTTACATGCTATGTGCGGTTAATTACTGATTTTTACAGTATTTATCACCTTATTTGTACTGCGTGACTAACGCAGTAAGGGTTATTTCTGCAAATTTTTACCTCTTTTTGGTCAATTACATAAATTGAAAGTGCCGTTTGCAATGTGTAAATTACATTCTTTGTTTACTTCACAAGATTTAGGTTTAAAATAAATTTTCAAAATCTTCACGATAATTTGTATAGAAGAATATAACTGACAAGTTAATTGTTTGATGAGGAAAATGCAACGATTGTTTAAAAGGAGAAAGCTTTCCTTTTTTAAAAAAAAAAAATTAGTGCATTTTTCTCGAAGCTGAATTTCTTAAATTTGGCTCATCTTGAGGCATGCAGCTTTAAGCCATCGCCTATTGCAGATCGATTTCGAAATTTGCTTCTCTAATAATGTATGTACATGTATATTAACGGCTTAGTAAGTTTGTAGTCTTCTTACATAATGCAATGTTATATGATATTACGAACTTTAATGATTTACATGTTCTTCTGTAGATATACATGTACATGAAGTATGCAAACAATGTTAACATGTACTGCATAATTTATGATAAAGAAATATCGACACATCAATATCGGATCTGTATATTTGTTGTATAGAGTATTGGGACATTCCCAAGACTTTGTCAAACAGTCAAAACAGTCAAACCTGTGCTGGAGGCCACTCCTGAAGAAATACGACACCAGGTGATGTGTAACTTGATTAAGTTCATTATAAGACCATTTTTTTACATTATTAATTTCAGCCAAAAGTTGGTTGATATGAGTATGAGTGACACCCTCACCAAATAAAAAGAAATTAAGAAAATAAAATAAAAAAATAAAAATTTAAAAAATAGCATTGTCCTTTAAAAACTGATATTGTATAACGAATTCGACTTTTTTTACAGACATATTTTTCCATGTTAAAATATTTAAATTGTACTACGCGACGAGATATTGTGCTATTTTGTGTATGGGCAATATCTACCCTCTAAAAACATCTCAGAATCTAGCTTTGGCACGTCAATATATTTTGACTATTAAAAGATAAACTTTAATGTATTAACATTTTCATGTTTAATTATTGAATTCTACATAAACGGTGCTATGGGTGTGGACGGTAGCTTGCACTTTTCAGTACCGTCTATGAACAGGCTCCTTCAAACCAAGCCTACAACATTTTCAATTTTGTTGTTTCGGACCTTCTTTATGGAATCCGTTTTTCTCCATTTTAATGGAAATTATGTGTTAATTTTTAACTAATCTTAAGACCAGTATTTCTGGGATATGAGCATTTACAATTTGACACCAGTCTGTATTATTGTCCAGTGTTTGTTCGGGCTGTTTGCGGGATTTGAAACAGCAAAATGTACATAATGAAAGACAGACCCTTTTATAATGAACTAAATGTGTTTTTTTTTCTTTTTTACATTTAATTATTTATAATTCATAATTAATAATATTAGACAAAGCATTTTAACCCTTTATATTTTTTTCAACTAAAGAGCTACGGTAAAAATCTGTAATATTAACACATAATCATACATACGTAAAAGATTTACAAACATTGTCTCGCTCAAAATAGAACAATGTACTGGTAGCCATTTCTTAAAGAGGGGAGACAATTGCGTACTATTTCATCAACTGTTCAAAACTCGATTGTCGTTCGCTAATATACTATTTCACGGAGAATAAGGTGGCGGTTCATCCTGAAATGTTTCACCGCACGGAATCACGTGTATTATTGCAGGCTGGTGTAAAGGTGGAGTTGGTGGTGGTGGTGATGGCGTGCCGGAAGACTGAGGTTGCGGTGAATATCTAGGTGGTATTATATCCGGTAATGGAAGTGCCGACGGGGTCAAGGGCGGCGTTCTTCTTGATTGCGGTGGAGACTGTGTGAGTGGGGGTGATGGACTCGGAGGTGGATAATGCATAGACGCAGGAGGCGGGCTTGGAGGTGGTGGCGGTGGTGTTCTCGTCGGTGACCTTGACCTTTGGTAGAAATTGTGGCCTGAAACTGGGGGTAGCACATACGGGGCCTCTCTTTCGTGGTAATTTAGCCCTGTAACTGGAGGTAACACATACGGGGCCTCTCTTTCTTGTCGCCGCCGACGGTTCTCATTTTCTGTATTGCTTTGTCTATTTCGTTTTCTATTCTTCTTACGTCGTTTTCGTATTCTATCTCTATATTGCTGTGTAAGATAATGTTGCAAATGAGTGGTAGAAAAATCTGGCTCTGGAAATGCCAGTCTGGGATCTGGATGACTATGATGATGATGGTGATGCGTTTCATTTTCAGTTATATTAGTCCCTGCCGTTTGTTCTGCTGCTATATAGGCTATTACATCGTCTGTATTGTCTACCATGTTAGAAATTTGATATTGAGCACGTGATAACATTTTCAGTCCAAAACTTGATGAAAATTTGCACACTATTGCCAAACCAATTGCACTGGTTAAAACTCCCACACATATGAACACTATGATAGTAATGGCGAGGCGGCGATTTTCTCGCGTCTCTATGTACGAACAATCGCTATTCAAACAAACGCCAGTAAAACTGACCACCAACACAGCGACCAGGTATCCAACATTGGTTGCAATCGCCATTAAACAATATGTCTGCATCTGTAATATTAAATTCAAATTGCTTTGAATATTTATAAGATTCAAACAAAACATGTAAATTTGTAGGACTTACTGGTACTTAGACTAAGCGCTCTCTTAAAGTCCCATATGTAGAAAAGTTGGTATGTTATGTTATACAATAGTGTTGTTTGGGGGTGGGGGATTATTAAACAACGTTTTACAAACAAGATTGTTATCCTTTTTAAAGACAACTTTTCATTAATAAACGAGAAGAAAAGATAGTTGACAAATATATTTTAAAGCTGCAAGCCTCTAGATGAGCAAAACTATATTTCAGGAAAATCAACATAGAGAATATTAATATGTACTAGGATTTTAAGAAAAGTAAACATATTTACAATTCAATAAATAAAATTGAAATAAAAATGAAAAATTACATGAATCTGGGGGCTTGCTGCTTTAAACCAGTAATGCTCCTCTATTAATAACCATGAAATTTACAAAAGAAATACTAATACAAATGTAGTACGAAACGCTATTCTGGTGTATAACTTACTATACATCCTATTTTTTCGGCTGCCTCTAACTTGTTAACACAATCTTTGCCACGAATGAACACTGCAAGCCCGAGTACTGCTTGAACAAGAACCTGAAACACAGAAAATATACTCGAACAATTATTATTTGGCATTGTCTTAACAGATCATATTTTATTTGTCCATATGAATTACAAATATCGATTAGAACCCTAGAATTTTATCATTTGAATAATTTTTTTTTATAAAATACGGTCAACTGTACAAAAAGCTCTGCTGGAGTGCTAAGCATGGCAAAATTATTAACTTGCCATTTCTTATAAACAACAGTTATTCCAGCTCTAAATTAGTATCAGTGCCAAAGTCCACTCTACCACTAATCTGTTTTTCTAAGTTAAAAATGACAAACTTTTATTGTGAAAGAAAGCTGCAATAATTTGACAAATGAATTGTCTTCTCTAACATATACTTACCATAGCCATTCCAATAAAAGCACCAGTGTAAAATGGAGGAATACCGTCCATGTAAGGTCCGTGTTTAAACCTTGAAACAACACCTAGGATCAGCAACAACACTCCAACTATACATTGACTAACACCAGTTATGTTGAGATAGCGGAGTGCCCGCTCCCTTTTCACTGAAAAATATTCATCAACAAATTATTCGTTTATTTTATCCAATATTATGCTTCTATTTTAAGTAGGTTTATTTTGTGCATGCACCATTCGCTCTTGTGGGATATACAAACATTTCTTTAATACAGGTATTTTTGGAGTATTGTTTTTTGTTGTTTTTTTTTCTTCAAAATTTAAATAATATTTTTTAAAGCAAATATATAGTTTGATACACTTTATGGCGACAAAAATAAACAGATAATGTATGAACTTTATTTATGCCTTCTACATGCAATGTAAATGTAAATGTATATGTATACAATTAATCTTTAAATTTCTCACGACTATATCTATTGTAATTTGCTTTGTTTTTGTGCACGTTGTCTCATATTCGATATTCCGATGTTGGAACAATATCACGCAGTGGTCACGTGATTCAATCTTCTTTGGCGACTTTCGAAACATGATACTATCATAGGTACACTCGGGTGATGATTTTATTTATATATATTTTTGTAAAATCTATGACATATTGATTTTAATTGTGATTAATGCACATTGTATTTGCTTTAATCACAGATAAAGAACAATGTTATGTTATCATTCATCAGCAATACAAATTTGTAGCTTCTAAGACTGCTATCCAGACCAACAGCAAAACCCGTATTTTCTCTTCAATATATGGTTTGATGGAATGGTGTTTACTATATGCATGTATACGCGCGCACACACACGCACGCACACACAATAATTTTAAAAATGTTTTTGTGTATCATTTCGAGTGATATAATTATTTCTAAACAATGAACATATTTCTATACTTCAATCGAAATGCTACCTAAATATATATTTGAAATTAATGTGTGTGTGCATGCATGTGTGAGAGCATGATAGTAAATAATGGATTGTTTTCTTAATATAATACGACCGTTTTCCTCAACAAGATGCCTTTTTCAGATGAGTAGATAAAATTAACTTGGCCTATAAATGTTTTAGAAAAGCAAAATTCTTTCATGACGCGAAAGCATTCGATCAGTTCGCAGTTTTTTTTGCGGCTCTAATTTAACACGTTTATATAAATAGCTGAACTTCTCATTTAGATTTACACTGGTAGATGAAAGTTATAAATTTCGTCCGTTTCAGATATACCGAAAATGTCCATGTTTTTACATGGCAATTATCATATCCAAATTTATATTACATTATATTTATACCTACAATAATCAAGAGGTTATGTTTTGCGGGAAAAAAGGAATTTTAATTCCAGTCTGCCCTCCTTGCTAGGTGTTATTTTTGCACTGTATATTAATAGAAAAATAGAAAATAACAGCAAAACAATGTTTGAACATGTGATACTAATGAAGAGACTCACTATTTTGATAAAGACACAAAACCAGTCCCGCAAGAAAGTTATATATTTACCATCTTCCATTTTGTGATTAATCCATCATACGCCCTTTTCTTCCATTCTTTCAAACACAATATCTACTTCCATTTTATCTTGATACACTTTTCTGTTATTCTGAATAATGTTTGTCCCTAAAGTTAAACTCTTCGGTATACATTGTTTCAACATGATTTACCTATATAAGATATACCCCCTTTATATATTTCTTTAATTAAAACGTATCAAATAATATCATTAAGTCAACTCCACGTCATTTGTACCGGGCCAGGTATAGTTTTAATACAATGCCTTTTTATCATAATAAATTTAATTAAATCTTTTCATCGATTAACACTTCATAGTTGGATGCGCTTGTTTTAATCGAATCATTTGAACAAAAAACTATTAAATTACTAATCTATACTATTGCTTATAAAGACAATATTTATCTACAAATATTTATAGCATGGTTTTAGCAATTTTATGGTGTATTATAGTTCAGGTACCTTTATATCGAGACAAAGCCATTGCCTATCCCCTAGTATCGTAGCATTTGAATATTTTAACATATTTTTATTGATGCCGGTGGTATGTTGTATTTTTCATCATGAAGTAAGTCTGTTTGTTTAAGTCGGAACTTCCGGTTCCTTCATTCGTACATGTAGATTCTTCTATACATATATAATACTATGATATACTTCTTGGGCAAAATTAATCCGCTGCGAATGCCTCTACCATATTGTAAAGCTTTTGATTTTCTGGTGTGGCTAAAGAGATCAAGCTTTTGTTGATCATCATCATCAAAATCATCATCGAAATCATCATTGAAATCACATAATCATGATTATTATCAGCAAAATCATCATCGAAATCATCATCATTGAAATCATCATTAAAATCATCGTAATCTTTATCATCGTCACCATCATCATATCAACATCATCATCATTATCATTATCGTCATCTTTGCTTTCAGATTTAACTTACATCTACAGTAGAAGAAACGACCCCAGGAGCTACTCTGAGCAATACTCCAAAGCATGAGGAAAGTACCCCGGTTTTGAAATATATGAATGCATATACAACTTTGCAGGTTATTTACCACTTAAGATCAACATCTTAAGCCAGGCAGTCAAAACTCATACACAGAGGGACACGGAGTCGATTTCTTTTACAATGAGTGTCTTTTAGCACTCTTGACCCTAGATATTAAGGTGACAGTTACCGTCTGAAGATAGCACTCAATTAAAACTGTAAACAATGACTAGTGCTGTTCGGAGATCACACATTAATCGAATGCTGTGCCCTAAAATGAAAGTCTCGGCAAAAATATCTTTTATCTACTTATGGATGAGCATATTTCTTTGGAAATGAGAGCTGGTGCACCTCTCTTTGGCCTTTATCAACAATGATCTATAAAATGTGTTGCTCGAACTGAGTGCATACACTGCGAAATGTGTTCCTCAAATCTGGTGTAATGATATGCACATTCAGCACCTAAATTCAAACCCTGACACTAATATCTCATACTGGGTTGATGCTGAGTCTACAACCTTGAAAGTTGTTGCAGCTCTATATCCGCCCTCGGTAAAGAAGGCTGTATACCAGTATTAAACGTAGAACGTATACCGTGCGTTTCGACGATGCCCTATAGCCCATACACCAAGATCTTATCAGAACTGAATGCATATGAGCCGCGTCATGACAAAACCAACGTAATGCGTTTGCGACCAGCATGGATCCAGATCCGCGCAGTCTGATCAGGATCCATGCTGTTCGCTATCAGTTTCTCTATGCGCAGGCTGGTCTGGATCCATGCTGGTCGCAAACACATTATGTTGGTTTTGTCGTGACGCGGCTCATATAAGGAAACTGCATATCATGAAACACATTGTGCGTCCCCCAAGTCTAAACCCTAAACCCAGGCACAACTATGTTAAACATGACGATATATAATTCATTGGATGACGTTATAGTTTTCAGATGATACTGGATGTCCAAAAACCTATTTGAATTGTCATTTGAATAAATTTGTATTCAATTTTATTCCAGTTCCTCAACACTTCCCAATTTATAATCGGTATGTTAAACTCTCTAGTCGGTGCACATATAATAATCATCATCATCATCATCATCAACATCATCATCATCATCGTCGTCGTCGTCGTCGTCATCATCATCATCATCACCACCACCACCATCATCATCGTCATCATCATCACCACCATCATCATCGTCATCATCATCACCACCATCATCATCATGATCATGATCAACATCATCATTTTTAACATTTTTTGCTTTTGAAACAAACTGACCGGCTAAATGTCATACTGTAGTTTTTTTCATTTTCTATCTACATTGGAAAGAAAACGACTTATAGACCTCCCCTGAGCAACACTCCATACATGAGTGATCACCTGAGTTAAGGGGGTCCGTACTCTCAGTGTCTTTCTGTATCAAAAACGAAATGATAACACAAAAGCAAATGAAACTATATATTTATTGTTTATAAATTTATATTGGAAGTACATACGTTACATAAAAGCTTATCAAAATAACATTTTTTACAATAATTTATAAAGGAAATCATTTTATGTAAATGTTTCTTTCAATAATAAAAATATACTCTAAAGTAAATACAATTTTTATAAGAAAATCTGTGACGTGTTAAAATGATGTTGTATTGTAAGTTAAACACAAAACAGGACTTTGGTAAAAACTGAGAAGTCTTAATATGTGAGATACATTTATGAAACAACTCATTTAGAAAGGATTTATAGGTCACTGTAAATACACAGATTTACATATGTTTGTTTTGTTTGGTTTTGTTTTCTGCCCACCAACACAATATAGGTCATATGGCGCCAAAACAGGACAGATGATTTTGCCTAACCTTTGGTGTTACAAAAACACCAGGAGTCAAAGTCACCTCACCTGCTAGAGCTTAGAGATGCAAAGACTCCAGTAATTTGAAGATCGCCTCAAACGATCTCAAGGTTAATGCAATTCTTATGCCTCAACTGTTAAAAGCAACTCCTCAGCCACTAGGGGCTAGCTTGATATATATCATTTAAGTGTTCTTAAGTGACATTTTTTGAGAAGAATTAATATCTTTCTTGAATTGAATGACAAGAATGTGTACGAAATTTAACACTGTTCTCGTTTTTTATCACATTTTATGTTTATATAAAAAGAAACACAATTATTGATAAAACTTATCATCATGCATTCTGTATTTTCTATTACTAGTATGTAAATGATCCTTGTGTTTTATAATAAAATATTCATATTAAACCAGTTGCATCAATGTCCATAACAAAATACGTGATACCAAAACATTATAACGAAATCTTGTTATATGGATATAACGAATTTCGGATATTTCGAAGCAAATTTCCATGTCCCTAGAAATTCGTCATAAGCATGTTTCGTTGTATCTAGATGTTGGTAAAGACTGTAAATCTTTACCTAGTAAACAACATCACCATACACTATATTTCAAATTTACCTCTGCTCAATATTATACATGTATTTCAACTTATGTTCATGTGTGTTATATTACTTTACTTAGTTATGTCCACTGACATGCTATTTTTTTCTTTTCTATGTTTGAAATTTTTGGGACATCATTAAAATCAAAATGCCCATGGGTTTAAAAACCTATTATAAAAAATAAAATTTCAATTTTAAAAATCAGTACCCGGGCCAAATTGGGTATTTCCCAACCCCCAAAATTTAAAACCGATACTTTTTCCCCCAAATCGGTAGTTTGGGCCCCTGCTTCCCCCGGTTTTTTTTAAATTAAAAAAAAAAAAGAAAAAAAAAACCCTTTAAAAAATGGGGGAAAAAAAATTAAAAGTAGGCTAAAGATATGACTAATGCTTAGATCTGATTCGAATTTTCCCCTAAAATTACAGTGTATAAAGATCTACTTTCCCGGAAAAAGAGAAATGTACAAAATTAAAAAAATCTAAAAGCCCCCAAAGGGGAAAAATACCCGTAACCGGGAAATAGCATGTGCGTTTTAAAGGGGAAGACATGGTAAAGTGATTTTCTTTTCGTAACCCTTTTTTTTGTGGTATACCCTTTTTAAGAATGAAAAAGTTTTATAAACAAACGTATACATTCGTTTATCTATTTTTAATACTTGAAAAAATAATTTATTGTAAACATTTATTTTTAAAGATAATGGCCCAAAAATATAAATTATATCGTAATCGTTATTTAAACACTATTTTAAACCAACCAAAAATTTCCCAAATTTAACTTTTAAATTTAAAAATATTTATAAACTTAAAATAATAAAATCAAAAAATTAAAAATACTGTTTTTTTTAGTTACTTTGTTTTAAATGGTTTTTTGATTAGGGTTTTTTGTTTTTAGAAAATACGGAAAATGGAAAAATGGCGCCAACCAAAAAACCTTTCGTAACAAAAATTGTTCCTAGCTTTTTTGGTTTTCAAAATTTTTAAAGCTTTAAGTTTTAAAGCTATGTTTCCATTACTAAAAAAAGAAGGAGTTTAAAGGAACCCAACCGTTAATTTTATCTTTTTATAAACAGCGGTCAAACCCAATTTCCCCAAAAGGCTGCAAAAAAATTAAAAAGAATACATCTTTTCTTTGGGGCGGGATTTCCCGTGTTTTTGGGAATTTTGTTCTTTTTGGCCAAAAAATTGGAACAAAAAATTTTGGGGCCCTTTTAAACCCAAAATTTATCATAAAACATTTTGAAACCAATTTTGTAAATTAAAAATATCAAAATTTCAGGTAAAATACAGGGAAATTTTCCAATAATTATATGCATCTCGTTAAAACGGTTGCCGTAGCGTAAAACCCAATTGCCCTTTGCAATTTTTTTAATATAAATTGGGATTTTTTTTGCAAAAAATAAAAAACGAGACATCAAAACCACGTGAATTTGGGAAAGGGGGAAAAACTAAATTTTAAATAATTTAAATTTGTTTTTTTTAGGGTTTTTTTGAAAAGATATTAAAAAATTAAAAAGCCCTTTGGGAAAAAAATTTTAAATTAAAACATATTAATGCAATATTTCTCACTATTTGCATCACAAATAATATGTTTCAAAAGGTGTGTAAATATGTAATTTGTGAATGTAATCTGATTCACTTTAAACATACATGTCTAGAAACTCTATCAGATGCATTGCATATAATTATAAGGTATTGCAGAAAAAGAAAGAAAATTCGAAATACATGTACATATATTTATCACGTTTCAACTTACCTAAAATGAAAAATGGTATATGCCCGACGTACTGTA